ACCTGGCTAATTTTTGTATTTTTAGTATAGACGAGTTTTCACCATGTTGGCCAGGCTGGTCTCAAACTCCTGACCTCAAGTGATCTGCCAGCCTCAGCCTCCCAAAGTGCTATTACAGGCGTGAGCCACCACGCCTGGCTTAGGCTGCTGAAATATTCTTTCTTAGGTATCCTTTATTTTGGAAAACAAAGAATAACAGAAAACTAAAAATTCTCAGTGGCAGTCTCTGTATCACTGGAATTTAACTTTTTGTTTGTTTGTTTTATGAGACGGAATCTCTGGCTCTGTCACCTAGGCTAGGGTGCAGTGGCGCGATCTCGGGTCACTGTAAGCTCCACCTCCCGGGTTCACCCCATTCTCCTGCCTCAGCCTCCCTAGTAGCTGGGACTACAGGCGCCTGTCACCAAGCCAGGCTAATTTTTTGTATTTTTAGTAGAGACGGGGTTTCACAGTGTTAGCCAGGATGGTCTCGATCTCCTGACCTCGTGATCACCCGCCTCGGCCTCCCAAAGTGCTGGGGTTACAGGCATGAGCCACCGCGCCCAGCTGGAATTTAACTGTTTTTAACAGCTTCTAATTTGTATAAATCACACGTAGCAGCTAATAGAACTGTTCCAAATTCCCATCAGAATAGTTGGTAGAGGAATTATTTCTGAGAATGCCGTTTCATTCATTAGGAGGCAACATGAACTCTTGGAAAGAGAGAGGTAGGCCTTGCGTTGAAACACTGCCTCAATCACTTACTAGCTATGTGATCTTGGAAAAGTTGCTTAAACTCTGAGAATTAATATTTACTCCACATACTTGAAGTGAGATCGCGAGATAAAGAACATGATAAGTAGTTGCTTTTCTTATTTTCCCTCTTCTCCACGAGTAACAATCCATTTTAGTCTCCATTTTAGCCTAGATCATTTGCTCAGGTTAAGCTTAGAGGTCCCATCACTGTATAACTTAACATTACAAAGTTCCACAGTAAGAGACAATCTCGCTAACACAGGTATCATTATATGAGACTGATGAGCTTCTAGAATGTCTGATGACTACATCATAATGGGAAGGATGTGTTCCTCAAAATGGATGCCACAAGTAAAATAAGTGCAATTCAATTGAACCCAAATGTTTATTGAGCATTTCCTCAGCTCATTCAATAAGTCATTGTTAACCCCGTGTTAGAGCATCCAAGAAACAAAAAGTGCATTTGTTGTAGTAAAAAATAAAATAAAGCTGAAAAGATTTCAAATAAAAAGATTTCCAGAAAATAGGCATTAAAAATAAAAAAAATAAAAACTGTCCTAAAAAAAAAAAGCCTGCTGTTTTTTCCTAAATAAAGATCTAATTAAATCACCAAACTTACTCAAAATGGCTGTGTACAAAAAATGAGAGTTGACATTAGATCTCGGACATATTTCCCACATACACAGTGCTTTGAAGTAAACTGCAGTTTGTTTTTAATAAATCTAAGTTATATGTTGTATTACTATGTATTGCTAAATTCTTTGCACTACTGTTATGCAATACTAATTTTACAGGGGAAACTGAAGCCTGATAACTTCGTCAGTGCCACAGGAAGAAACGAGAGACAGAAGGAAAAAGCACTTTACATGCCCGCTGTAATTCATCTTAGTTCACAGAGATCTCCACGGTAGGAGCGCGACGTCAGCTTCTGCGGCTAAAATCTCGTGACTGAAGCAGCATAGCTCAGAAAGAGTGATTTACCAGGTATCTATTTCATTCTAGAAAGGAGCCCGTAAACCTAAAAAGCATCCAGGCGAAATCGCTTCCTCCCGCCTGGCGCCAAAGGACAGAGCAGGAGGGCGAGCACTGACAGTGTTTAAGAAGGCTGAGGCCTACATGGCAAAGGCTTCGGTAAATAGGGAAGGGAAGAAAACAGAAAACGGGTACTCAGGTTCGCAAAAGTTTACCTTTCAGCGCCAGCAGGTGCTCCTGTTTAGGGGGATTCACTTCCATTTTGACCGCCACTTTTGACCCACGGCCTACGGGGGCTGGACAGGTTCAACTTGGCCCGGAAGGAAACGGAAAACCTCGCGTTTGACAAGACCAGAAGTCAAACGCACTTTCAACTTCTCTCCGGTGGTGGTACCTTAAATTTTCTTACTGTGTTCTTTACAGACTGGCTTCTTCTCACCAAGTCCATTTCTTTTATCTTAGAAACGTATGCATAAAACACTTTGTTTTCCATCTGCTATCGCACATCGCGACTTCAGGAAAAGAAACCACCCCTCGGTTACAATACGCCGCCTCCCAAAGGCCAACTTTGCCGGAGTTTAAAAAAAATAAATAAATAAAAGAGAGAGTGGCATGCTGGGATTTGTAGTTTATACGAAAATCGCGTTGCATGCAGGGAGATGCCCGTATCCCTTCACCGCCCTCAGTTTACACCCTGGTTGGTTTGCGATTCGAGAGGAAAAATCATTAAAGGAGCTGGAGTTTCACCCCAAAACTTTAATTCTGTTTTATCCCTTTTTTTTTTTTTTTCTTGTCTTTCCTCCAGCAGTTGCAGACTACGTAATGAAAAATAACAAAAGTGCCCATGCGCGAGGCTGTGCAACGAAGTACCCCACGACTGCAGGGAGGAGGAGTAAGAGTCGGCTAAGCGGCGCCCTGTGTCCTACTGCGCCTGTGCGCCGGTGGCGTGCGCAGAGGCCTCTGGGTAGGTGGCTTAACCCCGCCTCTCAGTTGAGGACTCTGAAGGCTGCATCTGTGGCGCTACTCCTACGAGGATGGCTACTCTGGTTGTAAACAAGCTTGGAGCGGGAGTAGACAGTGGCCGGCAGGGCAGCCGGGGGACAGCTGTAGTGAAGGTGAGGGACCTTGCGTGCTCTGTTCTCCACCATTGGCCTCCCTTGGGTTCATCCTGGAGACCTGGCTGCATCGCCACGGCCCAGGCTTCGATGGGTGGGATGCGCGGCCTCTGGGCCCCTTTTGGCTTTACAAGTCTTGTCCTCTCCTCTGCATCCTTTCTCTCCTATGGCCTGAAATTGCCTGGTCTTCTGCTCATGACATGTCATAATCGGAACATTTATGAAAAGGAGCTTGCGGTCCAGTGACCTAGACCGGTCTTTTCTCCAGGTCCTCTGCTTTTAGTTAAACTCAACAGGCATTAGTTAGCTTAGTATTATAAATTGGCCCATCGTCATCGTAACTACGTACTACGTTAGGTGTTTTAGCTCGTTAATATCTACTTATGAAGTAGATGTTAATTCCCATTTTACAGGGAGGAAACCCAGGTTTAGGTAAACACAGTGTGTGGCAGAGCCCCGGGTTGACCGGCTTTAAAGCCTATGCTTTTCCCTATTGTACTGCGTCTGTAATGAGACATCTGTTACTGGCTGAGCTGCCCTCTCTCCTGTTAGTAGTACAGTCTATTAACACTTTTCAGAAGTCTGCAACATCGTCATAGCTGGGCGTTAACGATAGAGTTAATGAATTTCCTTATGCTTGAAGTTTGAGATTCTACCATGTATAAATGCTCCAGAATGAATTTGCTAAAAAATCATTTGAAATATGTGGCAGTCATTTTTCCCTTCCACAGTTGTGCACGGAGAGATCTGGAGGGGAGAACTGATCTCATTGGTTTTATGGAGTAACCTTCGGGAGCATCTCTAATCTAAGAGATTGAAAATTCTCATTCCTGGCTACATATTAGGATCACTGAAGATTTTTAGTACACTACTGATGCACTCCTCCTCCAGTTCTGATGAGGTTGACAACATCAGTAGATTTTAGGAATGCCCATAAGTTATTTTAATATGTAACCGGGGTTAAGAATTACCGAACAGGATAATATATGAAGTTCTTTTAACGTCTTGAAAAATAGACACCTATGATTATTCAGTTAATGTTGGTTTTGTATGACAGCAAGTGAGACATTTCTTCCCACAATTTTGTATCAGTCAGTATTGGTGGTCGTTGATTCAGATGACCTTTAGGTAGTAATGAAGTTATTCTACAGGTGCACAGCATATCTGATACGCAAAAGAGCCCTCGTTATTAGGCATGTTGTGTGATTGAGATTTTATTTATTGAATTGTGCTTTTGCTAAGTAGAGAATACTTGCAGAGTACTTTGTGAATTAACTTGAAGTTTAAGTTTTATTTCATAATTGGAAGGGGTATCATTGCAGTATCTATTTTGTTGTTACGCTGTTTGCCTTATAGTCTCAAAAGTGTACCAAAGCCTGATGTAACTCCAGTTTGTTACAGCACAGAATTTGATACATCAGAGGCTCACCTTGTTCATCTTAACATGTAAAATGTTCCTGAACTGTGCAATAAAATAGTCCTTTCTGACAAAATCTTCATGCCATAATTTGTAGTAGCTATAGGGGTATAAACTGAAAAAAACCTTACTGTCATTTGTATAGATGAAAGCAATAAGTATTTATTGGAAGGTAAAAATTGAAGTATATAATGCTAATACTGTGTAAAATGGCCTTGTGCTTGTGAACAAGTTGATAATTACATGGTTTTTATCATTAGAGAAACCAGTAACATAAAAATCTGATATGGCTAGGCGCGGTGGCACACGTCTGTAAAGCACAAAGTGTCTGGGAAGCACTTTGGGAGGCCGAAGTGGGCTGATCACTTGAGGTCAGGAGTTCGAGACTAGCCTGGCCAGCATGGCCAAACCCTGTCTCTACTAATAATACAAAAAGTAGCCAGGCATTGTGGTGTGGGCCTGTTAATCCCAGTTACTCAGGAGGCTGATTCAGGAGAATCACTTGAACCCAGGAGGGGGAGGCTGCAGTGAGCCGAGATTGTGCTACTACATTCCAGCCTGGGTGACAGAGTGAGACTCCATCTGAAAAATAAAAAATAAAAAATCTGATATTGTGAAATAACTGACATGTAAAAATGTATCACAGTTTCTTTTGCTTAGTGAGTCTTCTTAGGCCTTTTAAAATTTAGTCTGAGGCTGGGCACAGTGGCTCACACCTTTAATCTCAGCACTTTGGGAGGCTAAGGTGGGAGGATTGCTTGAGCCCTGGAGTTTGAGACCAGCCTCGGCAACATAGTGAGATCCAACCTCTACAAATAATAATTAAAAAAATTAGCCAGGCATGGTGGCACATGCCTGTGGTACCAGCTACTTGGGAGTCTGAGGCAGGAGGATTGCTTGAGCTCGGGAGGTCAAGGCTGCAGTGAACCATGCTCAGGCCACTACATTCCAGCCTGGCTGACCCTTTTTTTTGAGAAAGAGTGAGACCCTTTCTCAAAAAAAAAAATATATATATACATATATATAAAAATATATAATCTGATTGATTACAGTTTGATTTACATGTAATAAGTTTGAAGCTGTTTTGGCATTTTGTGAAATGTAAAATTAAGAGCTTTTTCCTATCTAGGGCTTTTTGCTGTTAACCACAATTCCTATTCATAGATACTGAGGAAATATTTTCTTGCTGTATTATTTACCAAGTTGATGCAAAATAGTCTAGTAACTTTATTTTCGGACCTGTGTTTGGTTTGCTTATCAATGGAATTTTATTAGTGCTTTTTGAAAAATATGGTAACAGCATAAGGAAATTCTTTTAAATCTTGTACAGTGGTGAGATCAGAGATACAGGATTGAAATGAACTAAACAAAATTTTAATATGGTTCTTTGGAGTTTATAAACAAATTTAATTTATTAGAGTTTCAATACAGCATTTATAAAATGTTGCATTTATTTTATATCAAATTCTATTGTGATTTTTTTTTTTTTTTGAGTCGGAGTCTTGCTCTGTCGCCTAGGCTGGAGTGCAGTGGCACAATCTCGGCTCACTGCAAGCTCCACCTCCTGGGTTCATGCCATTCTTCTGCCTCAGCCTCCCAAGTAGCTGGGACTATAGGCGCCCACCACCGTGCCCGGCTAATTTTTTGTATTTTTAGTAGAGATGGGGTTTCACTGTGTTAGCCAGGATGGTCTCGATATCCTGACCTCGTGATCCACCCACCTTGGCCTCCCAAAGTGCTGGGATTACAGGCATAAGCCACCGCGCCTGGCCTGTGAATATTTTTTCTATATTTAATTGAAATTTTTTTTTTTGAGGCAGGTTCTCACTCTGTCACCCAGGTGGGAGTGCAATGGCACAATCATGGCTCATAGCAACCTCAACCTCCTGGGCTCAAGTGATCCTCCCACCTCAGTTTTTTATTTTTTTGTAGAGACAGGGTCTCACTGTGTTGCCCAGGCTGGTCTTGAACTCCTGACCTCAAGCAGTCCTCTTGCCTTGGTGTCCCAAAGTGCTGTGATTACAGGTGTGAGCCACGGTGCCTGACCTAAATGGATTTGATAACGTGAAACTTTCCCCTTTTTAAAAAATGTAGGATGAATTGAAGTATGTGTATATATGAATAATAGATAGAATTATACATGGGTAGCTGTTCCCTAGCTGTTTCTCTTTCTCATGGGGAACCGATGTTCCAGTGTTACTGGTGTCCTATGTATCCTTCCAGGAAGACAGTACATTTATACAACAATATAAAAAAAATTTGCTCTTTCCCCACCTTTATGCAAAAATGAGTATATTCTATTTATCATTTTTGTTTTAATCATATGGAATCATTCTGTGTGTACATGAAAAACGTCATCTTTCTCACTATCCTATATAGTTTTATAGTATTATGAATGTGCCATAATTTATTTTCCAAGCTGATATTGATGTGTATTTACTTTGTTTCCAATTTTTTGCTAATGCAAATGATGCTTTAAGGACTAACATACAGATTTTGTCACACATGTCTAATATGCTTGTAGGATAAATTCCTGCAACTAGAATTACTGAGTTACTTAAACTTGGTAAGTATTGACAGGTTGCCCTTCATAAAAGCTGTATTGCTCAATAAACATTTCATAGCAATTAGTAATGTATGACAGTGTCTGCTTTCCCACACCTTCACTAACAAAGTGTTACCAACATTTTTGATCTAATCTGAAAAAAAACGTATTTTGATGTAGCTTTGATTTGCATTTTTTTCTTTCTTTATTTTTTTGAGACCGAGTCTCACTCTGTGATCTTGGCTCAGTGCAGCCTCCGCCTCCCAGGCTCAATCGATTATCCTGCCTCAGCCTCCTGAGTAAACTGGGATTACAGGCGCCCACCACCATGCCTGGCTAATTTTTTTGTATTTTTACTACAGAAGGAATTTCACCGTGTTGTCCAGGCTGGTCTCGAACTCCTGACCTCAGATGATCCACTTGCCTCAGCCTCCCAAAGTGTTGGAATTACAGGCATGAGCCACCGTGCCTAGCCTTAATTTACATTTTTCTTGTTATGAGTTAGATTGAACATCTTTTCATGTAAAGAATTTTCATCGTCTTTTCTGTGAACAATTTTTTTTGTTTCTTATTTTTATTTATTTTTCTCTTCCCAAACCCTTATTTACATTGAAAGACTAAATTTAAATTTCTTTTGAACCATAATAATATACAAAGCAATTATGAATTATCACTTCATGGTGAAAGATATTTGTATCTCAAGCCCAAAGTTCAAGTTAATTACAGAGTTAGGTTTAAAATCGTAGTAGATTTAGTCTGATTTCTGCCTTGGGTTTTCTGTTTTTTACCTTGTGTTGTGTGTTTGATGATGTTGAGCTTAATTGTTTTTAAATTATTTTACTAGACTTTATGTAAGCACTAGGAACTTGGTATTTAAAATACCCTGTTCCTGAGGGTTTTTTGGTCCAACAGGGAAAGACAGACTAGAAAACCAAGGTATTAAAGCATTTTGGGTGTTATGGTAGACACTTATACAGAGTACTTGGGGGCCCAAAGGACAAGTATAGTCCTTTCCTCAGCGTTAGCATGAAGAAACATGAAAGTTTCTCATGTTCTGAGAACTATAAGCTGTTGGATGTAGTTGGAGCACAGGGTCAGAAGAGTGTGGCAGTGAAGCAGTAGAACAGGGACCAGATTGTAGTGGGTCTTGAATGACAGGAGTTTGAGGTATGATTGAATAGTACAGTGTGGGTATTTTAAAAAAATTAATGAAACACTACAAATATACTTAGAAATAAGTGCTGAAAATGCTTTATTGCTATAAATACAATTTGTTGACTATTTATAAAACATAAACATATGGACTTGAGAATCAGAATATGCTGATAAGTAGCCTTTCTTTTGACTGACTCTGTAGCCTTGTGCAAGTCATGTGTCTGTAACTAGAATTAGATAGACAAACTAATTTCTGATTCCGAGCTATATTTATGGATAGAGCACAGGAATTGAAATTTAAGGTGATTGCTTTTTTGACTTTGTATTATTTAATGTACATTAGATACTAGAAACATGAAAGTTAGTTGTAGTCTTTTCTTAACAAGTTCTTTATCATTAACAGGGGTAATTGTTAGCACATATTTTAGATTATTTTTGTTGAAATTAATGATAGTTTATTTGTGTTGAAATTAATGATGGGTTAGGTAGTTGCAGAGAAATTGCTTAAGAACCCGCCTTCAGTAGAATTACATATTGTTTGTACAGATTCAGATGTAATGAGTGAAATCATAATTTTCAAAAGATAATGAAGATGTTAGTTTACAGCATCTTTGCCCCTAACACTACTATTAGTATTTCAAAGATATTTCGTTACGATATAATTTTGGCAGGGTCTGTCAGATGGAATGACTTAAAAGTGATTTAAGATTTTACAACTTACATAGTTCTTTTTCATGGAGGAATAAAGTAACAATGTTGATTCAATATATTAGGTGAATTTTCTTATATACCTAAAATATGTACGCTTTTTAAATGGTTTAAAGAGTACATCCTTCGTTTTCAAATATTAGGTGCTAGAGTGTGGAGTTTGTGAAGACGTCTTTTCTTTGCAAGGAGACAAAGTTCCTCGCCTTTTGCTTTGTGGCCATACAGTCTGTCATGACTGTCTCACTCGCCTACCTCTTCATGGAAGAGCAATCCGTTGCCCATTTGATCGACAAGTAACAGACCTAGGTAGGAAAAGTATTTGTATGGATTTAAGATTGAAAATTGTTCATGTAATGCAAATGTCATAGAAAACAATTTCCTTCCACTTGATTTTTAGAATGATAAAATTCCCAGAAAGTTTCAGAAAGCCTGAGTTTCTATTAAGGTGAATAATCTTCAAGCTATAAACTATCTCACTCTTAGTTACTAATTTTATTTTGTCTTCTGAGATGTTTATATTCAATACTTACCTGTAAAGAGCTTTAAGACACCTGAGAAAAACATGTTACCCTGATTCAAATAAATAAGAATATGCATCACAGAATGAATCATTTGCCTGAAGCCATTAACCCAATAAAACAATGTTTTCTTTACAAATAAATAAGCCAATAATGAAAATACAGGTAAGTCATTGAGTCTCAGCATGTTTTTATTTACTAATATCAAAGACAGAAGTGTTTGTAGCTTGTGATAATTACTCTGTATTTTCTGTTAAAATGAGTTTGAAGGGTTTGTGGATTTTTTTTGGTTTTCTGTATACTTTTAACACTTGCTTTATATATTTCAAACTAAGTTAGTTTCAGGTACCAGATTTGGAAATAATAGCATTGACTAACATTTGAACAATGATTTTACAAACATAAGTTTTGTAAGTTTACTCTTTTTGATAAGGGAGTTTTCTCCAAAAGAGTTTAAGGTTGCCATTTTTTTTTTTTTCAGGTCAGTTGCACTACGTAAGACAATTTTAATATATTCATACTATTTTTCAAGTGGAACACATTCAAAATAATTTATCCACCAAAAAAGGAAGCAAGAGTACCTATAATTTTAGGCTGGAAGACTTTAAAATGCTAAGAAACATGGTTTTAAAATATTTTCTGGAGAAAGAAGGGTTTTTAAGGTTTTGGTGATCTTTGATGTATATAAATAGTCTATTTGCCTGACAACTAATATAGGACAATAATAACATTATAGATAGCGTTAACTTACTAGTAGCCAAGAAATAGTAGGGATTGGGAAAGTCTCTGTACTTTTATTTGGTCTTTTATTCTTTGAGATATGCATATATCATACTATTTCTTTATATAAAACTATACTTAGGCCAGGCAAGGTGGCTCACACCTGTAATCCAGAACTTTGCAAGGCCGAGGTGGGTGGATCACCTGAAATCAGGAGTTCAAGGCCAGCCTGGACAACATGGTGAGACCCCTTCTCTTCTAAAAATGTAAAAATTAGCTGGGCGTGATGGTGGACGCCTATAATCCCAGCTACTCGGGAGGCTGAGGCAGGAGAATCACTTGAACCTGGGAGATGGAGGTTGCAGTGAGCCTAGATCGCGCCATTGCCCTCCAGCCTGGGCGACAAGAGCAAAACTCGTCTCAGACAAACAAACAAAAAAAACTAAAAGAAATAGTAATGTTTTTCAAATAGAGGATAGAACCTTTCTTCTACTTTTTTTTTTTTTTTAAAGCAGAGTGTTACTCTGTCACCCAGGCTGGAGTGCTGTGGTGCAATCTCAGCTCACTGCAGCCTCTACCTCCAGAGTTCAAGTGATTCTTCCGCCTCAGCCTCCTGAATAGCTGGGACTACAGGCACCTGCCACCACGCCTGACTAATCTGTGTATTTTTAGTAGAGATGGGGTTTCACTATGTTGGCCTGGCTGGTCTTGAACTCCTGACCTCAAGTGATCCACCCACCTCGGCCTCCCAAATTGCTGGGATTACAGGTGTGAGCCACCACGCCTGATTCTTCTACCTTTTTGAAGAGCACTTTACCTTCTCTACATTAATACCACAGTGTGAAGAGTTACTACCTCAATGTTTAACAAAACTAGAAATTTTGTTAAATTTACGACACGGAACTAGACTGAATACATCCATCCTCCTCTCTGACTTCTCTGAATTCTGAATCAGAATTCCTCTCTAGTACAAGAAGAATATGAGTAGTTATTGATACTGTTCAGCAATATTGCTGATTTTCTTCTGCTCATATGGTGAAATTACACTTCCTTGCCCTCTTACACATCACTGTGTGATGTCCATTGATCAGTGAATTGTTTGCAGAAGTGAAGTGTTAGCATCCAGGTAGAAGTTGATAAGAGAAGGTTTATGATTTTCAAAGTAAATTCTTCTCCCTGCTACAGTGAGGTGGTCCAAATGATTGGAGGCTGGGTAGCCTGTGTTCCTGTTTGTGGTCAGTGGGGAACAGTCTCTCTTGTCTTCCCTAACCCCTGAGATGTTGCATGAGCAAAAAGTAAATCTCTGTTGTGTTAAGCCATTGAGATTATGGAGTTGTTTTGACACTTAGAGAATTCAGTGATAAATATTAGGCACTACCTAGTAATGCTAGAAGTTTTTTTGTATGTATTCATTATATAATGATTGGATATTTAGAAAATTGTCACAACTGTATTTTTAAATGATCACTTAGTGTACTTCTTAACCTTTATGTAAATAGAGAGAACTCAACTTGTTGTAGAATATGTGTTAAAAATTAAGGAGAAAGCCTTCTTGGGGCAAGGCTGAGGATAAATATGTTCAGTCTAGTTTTTTTGGGAGAACCACAACATGGAATGGCTTTTTTTTTTTTTTTTTTTTTAAGATCCAAGAGGAAGGGGAGCCCTGCAGGCAATGACTCCATCAACCTTTTATATATTTATTCATTTAATGAATATGTGTTAGGTGGCAGCTATATCAGATGGTATGTGGTATTTGTTGCATAGGAGTTTACCATAACAAATATTCCTTCTGCTAACAGATCTGAGTTTTATTCATAGGTTTAGGAAGAGTTTGTATGTTGTCCTGGGTTACAAAGTTATATGTATTTCTTAAGTTAGGTTGCTGCAAAAAGTATTTGAAAATGCTTGTTTTAGCATATATAGTAAAAGTCAGTGACAAAATAGGACTTGTAAAATTAACTGATAGAGAAATAGGCTGGGCACGGAGGCTAAGGCAGGCAGATCACTTTAGGCCAGGAGTTTGAGACCAGCCCGGCCAGCATGGCGAAACCCCGTCTCTACCAAAATATACAAAAAATCAGCTGAGCGTGGTGGCATGCACCTGTAGTCCCAGCCACTTGGGAGGCTGAGGCACAAGAATCGCTTGATCCCAGAAGGTGGAGATTGCAATGAGCCGAGATCGTGCTACTGCACACCAGCCTGGGTGACATAGCAAGACTCTGTCTCAAAAAAAAAAAGTAAAAGAGATTTAAATAACTTTTAAGCTGTGGCAAAATATATATATAGCATAAAATTTGCCATTTTAACTACTTCTAAGTTTAGTGGCATTAAGTTCATTCATATTGTTGTGCAGCCTTTACCACCTTAATTTTTTTAATGTGTATTTAGATTTTTTTTTTTTTAATTTCTTTTTTGAGATAGAGTCTTGCTGTGTCACCCAGGTTGGAGTGTAGTGCTATGATCTTGGCTCACTGCAACCTCCACCTCCCGGGTTCAAGTGATTCTCGTCCCTCGGCCTCCTGAGTGGCTGGGTTTACAGGCGCCTGACGCCACACCTGGTTAATTTTCATATTTGTAGTAGAGACAGGATTTCACCATGTTGACCGGGCTGGTCTTGAACTCCTGGCCTTAAGTGATCTGTCCGTCTCAGCCTCCCAAACTGCTGGGATTACAGTCGTGAGCCAATGCGCCTGGCCAAAAAATAATAAATTTTAAAGTGTGTTTCTACTTGGAAGCCTGAGGGATTCTTCTGTTTTTTAAAAGAGAGTATTAACAAAGCAATTATTTTGGTATTAAATAATGGGGAAAATTTGAATTTTTCAAATTTAGACATTAACGACTGAACTATATGGATTAGAAATTACTTTTGAGGTATGGGTAAAATGATTAATAGTCCATTTTGTTAGATTTAGTTTTTGTTTTTATATTCTAGGAGATTCAGGTGTCTGGGGCTTGAAAAAAAATTTTGCTTTATTGGAGCTTTTGGAACGACTGCAGAATGGGCCTATTGGTCAATATGGAGCTGCAGAAGAATCCATTGGGATATCTGGAGAGGTATTGATCATACTTGGTGAAATATTTGTTACGAGCATGAATTTTTCTTTTAATATATGCCATTATTAGCACAATATTACCTCATTTAATTCAGCCGGTAAATTTCTAGAAACACAACTTTTCATTACATTACAGTTCTAAAGGCCAGCACTATTCCCAAGAGAAAAAAGTAGAACTAGAATTATTTGAAAATACTATGCCTAAACTATGCCTTATGTGTGAACTTTTTTTTCCTTATCATAATTCAGTTCTACCAAGGATAAAGTGAAAAGAGGAAGAAGATTATAGAATAGTAAGAAAGATAAGTAAGCAACAGTGGAGCAGAGGATGCAAAAGTAAATTAGTCAACAGAAAAACTCAATGAGAGAAAGTAAAACTCCATGTAAGAGGCCATTTAATATGCAGGGAAAATTGCCTTAAAGATAGCAGTAGCTTCTGAGGGAATTGTTACTATTCTATCTTCAAGAAAAGGTTAAACTTTGTATAGATGTACTGTCTTTATCCATACAGGTAGATATCTGGTAAATATTAGAATCCATGAACACTGGATTTTTTAATAATGTAAAAGTATATTTTTAGCACTTACGTATTATTTGCATAGCTGCACATATGTACTATAGGACATGGCTTTCATAGGCTATTATGGATAGAAATATATTTGGAGTAAATATCAGTTAATGATTTTGGTGATCAACTTGCAAACCACATATTTGTATCAAGAAAAAAATGTCGGATTGCTTTCTGCTTCTCTTTTATTAGATGATGATTTCTTTATACTGAAGTGAATCAGTGAAATTAATTTCAAACTGCAACACTCTGTTTTCTAAAATTTCTGCAGTTCTTTCATGTGCTAAATCTTTAATCTTTACTTCAAAAGACATTACTGTTAGCTAATGTTGACTTTATAATTTATAATTTATTTGTCAGGTCTGGAAAACAGAAGACCTGAATTTTTATGGTACATATATACACTTCTTATTATTGCAAACAAAACTCTTCCACTTTGGATTCATTTTTTATTTAATGTGATAATGAATGACACCACTGATGTATTTAAACATTTTTATTTTTGAAAAAATTTATACTAAATTTCTCCCCTTCCACTTATGGCCTTTTAACGTTTAGTAAAAGTGTTCAAAGCATTCTTGATTATCTGACATGTAATATTTTATCTACTTGAAATAAAAATAATTATTTAGTAATTAATTATTTTTTGTAATTCCTGAAAACTAGAAATAATATTTAGATGCTTACATATAGGTTTTATTTGTTTATTAATTGTTATTTTTTAAGACAGAGTCTCGCTCTGTCACCCTTGCTGGAGTGCAGTGGCGTGATCTCAGTTACCTGCAGTCTCTGCCTCCTGGCTTCAAGTGATTCTTGTGCCTCAGCTACCTGAGTAGCTGGAATTACAGGTGTGCACCACCACACCTGACTAATTTTTGGATGTTTAGTAGAGATAGAGTTTCTCCATGTTGGCCAGACTGGTCTCTTACTCCTGGCCTCAAGTGATCACCTGCCTCAGCCTTCTTAAAGTGCTGGGATTACAGGTGTGAGCCACTGAGCCTGGCCTATTTTTTTTTTTTAAATTATTTGCTTAAATCAGTGGTTTTCTGCCATGATTGTGCAATAGACTCACCTGTGGAGCTATTAAAATACGTGGTGTACAATTAGAAAAATATATACAAGTCTAGGGTTCATCCACAACCTGTTGAAATAAGAATTTCTCAGATTAGCGTCCAGACAACTATGTTTTTAAAAGCTTACAGCTAATTCTGATGCATACTCCTACATTTTCTAAATAGTATTTGTGCTTCTGTCCTTCCTGTACATCATCATGACAACTAATACTTAAAGCTATGGGGTTGTGTTTAGTATCAGATTTTTGTAGTTTTAAAAAAAGACTTTTGACTTCTCTATGGTTTAGTTTCTTTTGTGTAAAGTGAGGGGACTTGGTGGAAGAGATCTTTGCACCGAATATGAATCTGCGAGAATAGTTTTATTTTTGGCTTCAAATTCATAACATATATTGGTCAGTTAATCTTGGAAATAGCTTCTTACCTGTAGAAATGAATGCTTCTCAGATGAGTATTGAATGACCTTTGTGCTTAATGACCAATATATTTTCATATGTAAATATTGGTCAGTAAAGCAAAAAAGATTATGGGATTCTATATTTAAAAATTTGTCATGTTATACTGATTGGGTTCAATTTTAAGGCATTAATTTTTTGTTTATCAGAGCATCATTCGTTGTGATGAAGATGAAGCTCACCTTGCATCTGTATATTGCACTGTGTGTGCAACTCATTTGTGCTCTGAGTGTTCTCAAGTTACTCATTCTACAAAGACATTAGCAAAGCACAGGCGAGTTCCTCTAGCTGATAAACCTCATGAGAAAACCATGTGCTCTCAGCACCAGGTGCATGCCATTGAGTTTGTTTGCTTAGAAGAAGGTTGTCAAACTAGCCCACTCATGTGCTGTGTCTGCAAAGAATATGGAAAACACCAAGGTCACAAGGTATGAATTTAATTATTAATCAATTGGATCACTGTAGCTACTTTACCAGCTCAGTATTCGTTTTCACTGACCTGGTTCTTTATTCTGAAAGTAGGCATTGAAGAAGAGTTAAGTGATGAATGATTGTGTTTGGTAGCATGAAAATAAATGAGAGATTTAATTTCTAAATGTTGTTAACAAAAGAAAAACTTCAAAGAGCGTCATTCTTCACAAAAAAATAGCCTTTGAGCAGGAAACAAACATTCTCTTTGTTTGCATGTTTTCATAATGCACCAGATTGTTTGACAATATTTATGTCTGTTAGCTCTTACTTAGGATATAATTTTAGAGATAGTTCTTGTTTAGCAATAAATGGACTTCCAAATTTTAAATTACTTCTTTGCAGTACAGTTTTCTTATAAAGGAGTGAAAGTAAATTATAGTATTTTTCTGTGTTATAAAAGTCACTTGTGGCTGATGCTTTTTTGTATTAACAGGGATTTAAATAGTTTTCTATATTATTAGTCAATACTATGAGTTCTTTTCTCATGTTACATTTTATAGCATTCAGTGTTGGAACCAGAAGCTAATCAGATCCGAGCATCAATTTTAGATATGGCTCACTGCATACGGACCTTCACAGAGGAAATCTCAGATTATTCCAGAAAATTAGTTGGAATTGTACAGCACATTGAAGGAGGAGAACAAATCGTGGAAGATGGAATTGGAATGGCTCACACAGAACATGTATGGTTTTTTTTCTTCTTCCCCTTTCTCCTTGTTTTTTATTTTTCATATTGTCACCTTCTACTAAGTATTTAATGAGCAATTACAATTTGCTAGTATTGCACCAGTCATTGGAAAGTTTTTTAAAAGTCCCTCTCTTTAAGGAAGTCATTCATCACGGAACAGAGAGAGTTTTAAATGTGGTGACTATTTTATGGAGGAGAAGTACAGGGTGCTTTGGCATCACAAAACGGGCAATGATTTATGGAGGTCAGAGAAATCCTTAGAGAAGAAACAATGTTTAAACTGAGATTTGAAGAAATTCAGTCAAGGAAAAGAGCAGAATGAGGAACGAATTGTCCCAAGAAGGGAGCAATATGTTAAAATGTTTGGAAGTGAGAATTGGACATATTGTAGAGACTTAAAGAAGCTCACTAGTTAGAGCTTTGAGTATTGAATGGGACATGACAAGAAAAGAGGATATGGAGAGTTCAAAGCCAAATCATGCAGGATAAAGAGTTCAGAACTTAGTTTAAGGACAGTGATGAGCCATTGAAGAATTGACATAGGAATGACATGATCAGATTTTCCTTAAGAAAGGCTGTTTTAAATGTAGAAAATGAATTGGAGGAGCAACAAAATTGGAAGTAGGTAGACCTATTAGGATGTTGTTAAAGTTTTCTAGTTAAAATTCTAGAGATGCTTATGGCCTATAATACACTAGGGTAGAGAGAGTGGACACAAGTCGATGGATTTAAGATTTTAAAGAAGTAGAATAGATAGGTCTTACTGATTAATTGTTAATATTGATTGGATAGGTAACTTGGAGGTGATGAGGCATGATGAGATTCTGGATGTATTTTGGAATTTGCTGAGGGACAAATGGGCTATGAAAGAGAGGTGATCATCATGACTCCAATTTTGTTTGCTTTCATCCTGATGGATGGAGTTGCCATTTACCAAGACAGAGACAATTAGGTTTGGGAATAGGGGAGACTGGAGATTAGGCATTCCATTTTGCTTGAGATGTCATTTATAAACAGTTGAATTTCCAATGTCTGTGCATAAGGGGAAAGATCTAGCATGGAGATTTGTATTTTGGAATTTAATATAGATGGTATTTAAACAACGTCTTGCTCGGTCACCCAGGCTGGCATGCAGTGATGTGATTACGACTCACTGCAGCCTTGACTTCTGGGGCTCAATCAGTCCTCCCACCTCAGCCTCCTGAGTAGCCGGGACTACAGGCACATACCACCACGCCTGGCTAATTTTTTCTATTTTTCGTAGAGACAGGGTTTTGCCATGTTGCCTAGGCTGAAATTTTAAATATTTCACGGGTAAAATCTTTATTAACATTACAGTTGCTTAAAATTTATTTTCATTTTCTTAGGTACCAGGGACTGCAGAGAATGCCCGGTCATGTATTCGAGCATATTTTTATGATCTACATGAAACTCTGTGTCGTCAAGAAGAAATGGCTCTAAGTGTTGTTGATGCTCATGTTCGTGAAAAATTGATTTGGCTTAGGCAGCAACAAGAAGATATGACTATTTTGTTGTCAGAGGTTTCAGCAGCCTGCCTCCATTGTGAAAAGACTTTGCAGCAGGTAGGTAGTTTAAATGTGGTTAGGGTCTTAGTTGTAAGTTTAAGTAGATAATTACCAGAGGTATACATTAGTGTATTTTATTATTATTTTGTGTCTGCTGTATGCAGTAACTTTGTGCTGAGGACATAGTCTGCAACCTTGAATTATTTCACTAGTGTGGAATTATCAGTGCCCTCTCGTTCATGTGCCCTCCCCACCTTGAGCCATGGGTTCTTGAACCCTTCTAACTTCTTGCCATTCTTCAGTTAATGCCAAATCCTTTTACTCTTCTTTGCCAAGCATATATGTACGTTTTTTTTTTTTCCTGCTTGGAGTGCATATATCTCTCTTTTCTTATAGTGGAAATCTTCCTTCTCCTTCAAGGTCCAGCTTAAATGTTTGCCTTTCTTTGAAGCTTTCTCTTTGTTGGTCTTTTTTTGAGTGCCTCTCTAGCATGTACTGCCTACCTCTGCTGTAATTCGATGGTTCTTCACTGTTAGAACAAACGTATGTTTTGTGCTGGTTGAGATACCATAAGCAATTTGTTACCCAGTTTGCAGATGACTTACTTTTTAAATAAGTGAGGCTCAAAGTTATTCTGACACAAATGTCAGCCTTACCCATTTGTGTTTTGGATCTGTTTTCCTAAGTGTGAGGTATAAGGATAACTATTGCCCTAGGAATTTCAGAAAAGCTGCAGTCTGTGTTATCTTCACTGATATATTGCTGATAATTGTGTTGATTTCAAATCATTGTAGGCTAAGCCTTTTACCATTATAGAGCTTTTTCTCTTAAGTATCTGATTACACTTACATGAAAGTGGCCAGTCTATAGCCTCATCAGTCTTGGATTATCATTGAGTCCTTACTACACTGAATTGTAACAGTTGATATGTATGCTATTTATTAAGTTGATTTTCAGCTCCAAACCTACTCTTCTATCCTCTGCTTTGTGATACTAGGGCTAGAACTCTATAGACCTCGTAATTGTGTTTCCAGCTGGACCCATGTTAGGTACTGTCAAGAGGGGGCATAGTTACTCATGTTAGGAGACCACCCTTCCTGGAGGTTTGAGTTTCAGCTCCGTGAGCCCCTCCTGCAAGTTTCTAAGTTTTAATAATTCTAACCTCTTCCTTTTATTCCCTCAGCACTGGAAGTGGTAGCTATATTATTTCATACAATTGCTACCTCCATAATACCTCAGAGTTCCTTTTATCCTTTTAGCTACCTCGTTAATAACCACACCTAGTTAACAGTTTTTATTTTAAGTTCTTTCTATTCAAATAGTGGTGTGATTTGTGTCTTCTGATTTGACCTCGAATGACAATATGCCTGTGTGTTTTAGATGCTGACCTTGTTCATCTTTGATGCATCTTGATGCATCTTGTTCATCTTTGTGTCACTGAATTCTTTGCATCTAGATAGAAGAACTTAATAAATACATGTTTAACTCATGGCGGATAATGAAGCTACACAGCAAAATCAGAGCAGAATCGTGTCCTAAATCATACTAACTTGAATACTTAAAAGTATATTCATATTTATTTTATGAAAAAGTATGTTCATAGTTACTGAAATATTTAAGTGTTTTAGAGTTTCTGAAGTGTTGTGCCAAAATGACTGGTATATTAGTCCATTTTCACACCGCTCTGCAGATACTACCCGAGACTGGGTAATTTATAAAGGAAAGGGGCTTAATTTACTCATAGGTTTGCATGGCTGGGGAGGCTTCAGGAAAGTTACATTCATGGTGGAAGGCAAAGGGGAAGCAAGCACCTTCTTCATAAGACAGCAGGAGAGAGACAGAGAGTGAGCAAAGGGGAGATGTCACACTTTAAAACCATCAGATGTCATGAGAACTCACTATCATGAGAACAGCATGGGGGAAACTGTCCCCATGATCCAATCACGTCCCTCCCCAGACATGGGGATTACAATTCAAGATAAGATTTGGGTGAGGACACAGAGCCAAGCCATATGAACTGGTAATTTTTAATAATACAATATTATCTATGTTAATGCAAAAAAATCAAGGTCTTGGATTCATTCTTCCTATGGACGTATTAGTATTGTTCTATTTTATGACTACAGAATACTAACCAATGTTCTTTAAAGTTCCCACTACAGAGAAAATTGAACAGAGGAATGGATGGAACATCACAAATTGATCTTCACTTCTGAGAACATAATTTAATCATCCATCCACTCTAAACAAATTATGCATCATCTAAAGTTCTTGGCATGATACTGGATGCTGAATATTCATTTAACAAATATGTATTGAGCACCTAACATATGCCGTGTATTTAAAATATATCAGTGGACAAAATAAGCGAAAAGCCATAATCTTGTAGAATTAGCATTCTAGCAAGAAGACAGGCAATAAACCATAACCATATCTAAGTAAGTTAATTATACTATATGTTAGAAAGTGGTAAGAGCTAATCAAAAAAGAATTCTGCAACTGCATGTTTGTGTTTGTACAGCAGATTGCATTATTAAGTAGAGTAGTCAGAGTAAGCATTATTGAGGGAAGGTGAGATTTGAGCAAAGATTTAAGTAAAAAGTTGAAGGAATTCATTCAGGCCCTAACTGGGAGAAGAACATTCTAGTTGAGGAAATGTTTATAGCAAAAACCCTAGGGCAGCATGCCTGGTATGTTTGAGGAACAGGAAAATTGACCTCTTGATTGGAGTAGAATAAGCGAAGGAGAGAGTAATAGGAGCTGAAATTAGAGATTAATAGAGAATTATATGTAAGGAAAACCCTGTGAGGCATTATAAGGACTTCAATTGTTTTTTTTTTTTGGCCGGGGGCTGGGGGGAGTGGGGAAGTGGGACAGGGTCTTGCTCCAGGCTAGAGTGCAGTGATACAATCTGGTCTCACTATAGCTTCTGCCTCCTGGGCTCAAGTGATCCTCCTGCTTCAGCCTCCTGAGTAGCTGGGACTACAGGAGCAAGCCACCACATCCAGCTAATTTTTTTGTATTTTTCATAGAGACGGAGTTTCGCCATGTTGCCCAGACTTGTCTAAAACTCGTGGGCTCCCAAAGTGCTAGCGCTACAGGTGTGAGCCACCATGTCTGGGTGTACTTCAGCTTTTACTGATTGGGATAGGAGGACCATTGTAGAGTTTTGAGTAGAAATGTGACTTTATCTTATGTGTTAAAATGATTGTTCTGGCCTATGTGTCTGAAATAGATTGGAAGAAGGTAAAAATGGAAGGAAGGAATTCAACAGTTAAGCAACTGTTGTAGAATTCCAGGTGAGAGGTAATAGTAGCTTGGATAATGGGGATTAGAAGTGCCCAGATTCTGGATATTCAAAAGGATTTATTAACAGATTGTATGTAGGACATGTGGGAAAGAGAAAGCAATAATGGCTTCAGCGTTTGTCCTGAACAGCTGAAACAGTGGAATTGCTGTCAACTAACCTGAGTATCTAACAGTGAGCAAAAACAGATAATACTGTCATTCTCATGGAGCTTGCATATTATTGGGAGATCTCTTTCATATAAAGACTATATTGGTATATGTATAGATAGTCTGTAATAATATTCAAGAAACTGGAAAGTTCTTGACTTTGAGGAGTGGATCTGGGGATCTAGAGGGAGGTTGACCTGTATTCTTTATTTTTTTAATGAATACATGTATATCTGAAATTATTTTTTAAACTTTTTATAGAAGTAGAACATAGATATAGAAATGTATGCATAAGTATTCAGTTGGCTGAATTTTCAGACTGATCATTAATGTCTAACTAGCACCTAGATCAAGTAACAGAACATTGTCAGTTCCCCAGTAGTCCCCTCATACTCACTTCTGTCCACTACCTGCCTTTCCCACCATGATAAATCACTATCTTGACTTCTAATGTATATCTTAATTTTAGTTGTTTTGGTAATTAAATGAAATCATACAGTATGAATTCTCCATGCCATGTCTTCTTACACTCCACATTGTGTTTGTGAAATTTCTATCATCGTGTGTAGCTGTGATTTATTCTCACTGTGATGTAGTGTTCCATTTATCAATATTCTACAATTTATCCATTCTTTTGTTGCTAGGTCCTCAAATTATATATTAATGCCCAATTATTATTCTTGTCAAATTTACATTTAACTTTGACTACTATAATGTTAAAACTGCTTTTATTGTGAGTTGGTAATATAAGTATCTTTTCCTTATTTCTTATAAAAAGTTTATAAGAAATATTGTTTTGCCTCTTATAGGATGATTGTAGAGTTGTCTTGGCAAAACAGGAAATTACAAGGTTACTGGAAACATTGCAGAAACAGCAGCAGCAGTTCACAGAAGTTGCAGATCACATTCAGTTGGATGCCAGCATCCCTGTCACTTTTACAAAGGTAATGTACTGTACTTTATTTTTAGGTATTTTTTTCTGACAAATCATAATTGATTTACATTTCATGATAATCACCTTAGAGAGACAACCATGAAATTCATGAATTAGGGGCTTTTTAAGAAAACTTTTATCAGTGGAAAATAGAAATGGTGTGCTCACTTCGGCAGCACATATACTAAAATTGGAATAAGAAGATTAGCATGGCCCCTGTGCAAGAATGGCACACAAATTTGTGAAGTGCACCATATTTTTAAATTTAAAAAAGTAAAAATAAGAAAATATAAATAGTATATATATGGTATATATAATGAATCTTTCTATATCCATCACCCACTTGAGCAATTATAAACTTATTTCATCTCGCCTTTTACCTACTCCTTTTTCTACTTGCAATCTCCCAGTGTATTTTGAAGCAAATCCTAATATCATATAATTTCATCCCAACATCTTATTTCATCTATGAAATATTTTAGGGTGTATCTTCAAAAGATAAGGACTCTTTTTAAAAACATAATTGGGGCCAGGTGCAGTGACTCACACCTGTAATCCCAGCACTTTGGGAGGCCGAGGCGGGTGGATCACCTGAGGTCAGGAGTTTGAGACCAGCCTGACCAACATGGAGAAACCCTGTCTCTACTAAAAATACAAAATTTTTTGCTTAGTGGTGCATGCCTGTAATCTCAGCTACTTGGGAGGCTGAGGCAGGAGAATCATTTGAAACCAGGGGGCAGAGGTTACAGTGAGGTGAGATCACGCCACTGCACTCCAGCCTGGGTAACAAGAGCAACACTCCGCCTCAAAAACAAAAGAAAACAAACATAATTGGGCATGGTGGCATACCTTATAGTCCCAGTTACTCAGGAGGCTGAGGCAAGAGGATGGTTTGAGCCCAAGACTTCAAGACCAGCCTGGGCAATATAGTGAAATTCCCATCACTTAAAAAAAAAGCTAAAATATAATTATTACACAAAAAAAGTTTAATAATGAATCTCTAATATTTTCACTAATATTATCAAGTATGGTTAGTATTCCAATTTCCCAGATTGTTTTCAAAACAATTTTTTTAATGGTTGCTTTATTTTAGATACAATCCAAGCAAGTTTCATACTTGGGATTTGGTTGATATATTTAAGCTTCTTTTAAAGTGGGTTCTCCCTGATTGAAAACTGTTCATGTGTACCATTTTGCTTTCTATTTTTAGGGGCTGTTTTTTAAAAAAATTAATTATGTTTTCACAATTATGTGAAATGTTTATGTGATCCAGAGTCAAATGTCCAAAGCAAGGTTTATTCAGAGAAATCTAGCTTTTATGCCTGTTCCTTCTACCCTTTTTACTTCATTCCCCATAGAAAATCATTTAGAATTTTTTCTTAGTTTTAGTCATCATTTTAAAAAGTATAGAGAAATGTGTTTATATATTTGTATGTACACTACTTGGATTTAAAAGGTGGAATACCTTACACACTTTTTTGTCCCTGCTCTTTTCACTTAACTGTACATCCTAAACGTTACTCTGTAGCAGTATAAAGTGACATTTTTTGTTCCTTTCTCTAGCTGCAAGGTAATTCATTGTGAGGATATACCACATTTATTTATTGTGGTAAAAAACACATAATAAAAAATTTGCTAGCTATCTCAACCATTTAGAAGTGTACAGTTCAGTACTGTTAAGTATACATTGTTAAACATATCCAGAAATTTTTCGTTTTGTAAAACTGAAACTATACTCTTTAAACAATTCCCCTCTGCCCCCTCTCATTGGTCCCTGGTAACCACTATTGTATTTTCCCTTATGAATTTGACTAGATACCTCATATAAGTGTAATCATACAGTATTTGCCTTTTTGTGGCTGGCTTATTCCACTTGGCCTATCATCAAAATTCATCCATATTGTAACATGTGAAAGGATTTTCTTCCATTTTAAGGCCGAGTAATATTCCATTGCATGTGTGATATGGTTTGGCTGTGTCCCCACCCAAATCTTAACTTGAATTGTATCTCCCAGGATTCCCACATGTTGTGGGAAGGATCGAGGGGGAGGTAATTGAATAATGGAGGCCGGTCTTTCCCGTGCTATTCTTGCGATATTGAATAAATCTCATGAGATCTGATGTGCTTATTAGGGGGTTTCCGCTTTTGCTTCTTCCTCATTTTTCTCTTGTCACCACCATGTAAGAAGTGCCTTTTGCCCCCCTCATGATTCTGAGGCCTCCCCAGCCATGTGGAACTGTAAGTCCAATTAAACCTCTTTTTGTTCCCAGTTTCGGGTATGTCTTTATCGGCAGCATGAAAATGGACTAATACAGTAAATTGGTACCAGTAGAGTGGGGCATTACTGAAAGGATACTCAAAAATGTGCAAATAACTTTGGGTAACAGGTAGAGGTTGGAACAGTTTGGAGGGCTAAGAAGAAGACAGGAAAATGTGGGAAAGTTTGGAACTTCCTAGAGACTCGTTGAATGACTTTGACAAAAGTACTGATAATGATATGGACAATGAAATCCAGGCTGAGGTATTCTAAGAGGGAGACGAGGAACTTGTTGGGAACTGGAACAAAGGTGACTCTTGTTATGTTTTAGCAGAGAGACTGGTGGCATTTGCCTAGAGATCTGTGGAACTTTGAACTTGAGAGAGATGATTTAGGGTATCTGGTGGAAGAAGTTTCTAGGCAGCAAAAGCATTCAAGAGGTGACTTGGGTTCTGTTAAAGGTCTTCAGTTTTATAAGGGAAGTAGAGCGTAAGAGTTTGGAAAATTTGCAGCCTGATTGTGTGATAGAAAAGAAAAACCCATTTTCTGGGGAAAAATTCAAGCTGGCTGCAGAAGTTTATGTAAGTAGCAAGGAACCTAATGTTAATACCTAAGACCAAAGGGAAAATGTCTCCAGGCCATGTCAGAGATCTTCATGGCAGCACCTCCCATCACAGGCCTGGAGGCCCAGGAGGAAAAAGTAGTTTCGTGGGCTGGGCCCGGGGTTCCCATGCTGTGTGCAGCCTAGGGACTTGGTGCCCTGTGTCCCAGCCACTCTAGCTGTGGCTGAAAGGGGCCAACATAGAGCTCAGGCTGTGGCTTCAGAGGGTGGAATCCCCCAGCCTTGGCAGCTTCTGTGTGGTGTTGAGCCTGTGGGTGCACAGAAGTCAAGAATTGAGGTTTGGGAACCTCTGCTTAGATTTCAGAAGATGCGTTGAAACACCTAGATGCTTAGGCAGAAGTTTGCTGTAGGGGCAGGGTTTGGAGGGGCCAGGGGCAGAATGATATGCTTCAGCTATGCCCCCACCCAAATCTCAACTTGAATTGTATCTCCCAGAATCCCCACATTTTGTAGGAGGGACCCAGGGTGAGGTAATTGAATCATGGGAGCTGGTCTTTCCTCTGCTATTCTCGTGATAGTGATTAAGTCTCACGAGATCTCATGGGTTTATCAGGGGTTTCCGCTTTTGCTTCTTCCTCATTTTTCTCTTGCCCTTGCCATGTAAGAAGTGCTTTTTGCCTCCTGTCATGATTCTGAGGCCTCCCCAGCCATGTGGAACTATAAGTCTAATTAAACCTCTTTTTCTTCCCAGTCTCGGGTATGTCTTTATCAGCAGCATGAAAATGGACTAATACAATGTGTGTACCACATTTTGTTTGTTCATTCATCTGTTGATGGAAACTTGAGTTGCTTCCACTTCTTGGTTTACTGGGAATAGTGCTGCTGTGCACGTGAGTGTAAAAATATCTCCTCAAGGCCGGGCGCGGTGGCTCAAGCCTGTAATCCCAGCACTTTGGGAGGCCGAGACGGGCGGATCACGAGGTCAGGAGATCGAGACCATCCTGGCTAACACGGTGAAACCCCGTCTCTACTAAAAAAATACAAAAAACTAGCTGGGCGCGGTGGCAGGCGCCTGTAGTCCCAACTACTCGGGAGGCTGAGGCAGGAGAATGGCGTGAACCCGGGAGGCGGAGCTTGCAGTGAGCTGAGATCCGGCCACTGCACTCCAGCCTGGGCGGCAGAGCGAGACTCCGTCTCAAAAAAAAAAAAAAAAAAATCTCCTCAAGACCCTGCTTTCATGGTCTTTTGGATATATATCCAGAAGTGAAGTTGGTAGATCATATAGTAGTTCTGTTTTTAATTTTTTGAGGAAACACCATACTGTTTTCCATAATGGTTGCACCATATTACAATTCCACCAGTGGTGCACAGGATGCAATTTCTCCACATTTTCACCAACATTTGTTATTTTCTGTTTTTGGATAGTAGCCATCCTGATTGGTTTGAAATGATACTTTATTTGTTTTGATATCCGTATCTCTGATGACTAATGCCGTTGACCATCTTTTCATATAATTGTTGGCCATATTGCCTTGAATATGTCTATTTTAATCCTTCACTCACTTTTTGATTGGGTTGACTGTTTTTGTTGTTTAATTGTAGGAGTTCTTTATATATTCAGGATATTAATTCCCTATCAGATCTGTGACTTTCAAATACTTTCTCCCATTTCACAGGTTGATTTTTCGCTCTGTTAACCGTGTCATTTTATGCACAAAAATTTTAAATTCGATGTTGTCTCATTTGTTTTTGCTTTTTTTTTTTTTAAATTGTGCTTTTGGTATATCCATGAAGTCATTCTCAAATGCAATGTCATGAGGCTTTTCCTCTGTTTTTTCTTCTAGGAGTTTTATGGTTTGGGGTCTTAAGTTTATGGCTTTAATCCATTTTGAGTTAATTTTTGTAGGTGGCGTAAGATACACAACATCCTTTTGCATGTAGCTATCCAGTTTCCCCGCATCATTTATTGAAGAGACTGTCTTTTCATTGAGTGGTCCTGGTACCCTTGTTGAAGATCATGTGACCCTATTCCTGAGGGTTTCTTTCTGGGCTCTCTCTTCTATTCTGTTGGTTTGTATGTCTCATCTTTATGCCAGTCTCACATAGTTTTCATTATTGTAGCTGATATGGCTTAGATCTATGTTCCTCTCCAAATCTTATGTCCAGTTGTAATCCCCAGTGTTGAAGTGGGGCCTGGTTGGAGGTGATTGGATCATGGGGGCAGTTTCTCATGAATGGTTTAGTATCATCCCCCTTGGTACTGTCTTTGCCATAATAGGTGAGTTCTCATGAGATCTGATCTTTTAAAACTGTGTGGCACCTCCCCCACCCTCTCTCTTGCTCCTGCTCCTGCCATGTGAAATGCGTCACTCCCTCTTTGCTTTCCACGATGATTGTGAGTTTCCTGAGGCTTCCCCTGAAGCCAGACTGATGCCAGCATCATGCTTCCTGTACAACCTATGGAACTGTGAGCCAATTAAACTTTTCTTTATAAATTACCCAGTCTTAGGTATTTCTTCAGAGCAGTGCAAAAACAGAACAAGCTTTGTGATATATTTCGAAGTAAGGAAGTGTGAGTCCTCCAACTGTTTTCTTTTTCAAAATTGTTTTGGCTATTCAGGGTCACTTGAGCTTCCATATAAATTTTAGCTTAATTTTTTCTGTCTCTGCAAAAAACATGATTGGGATTTTGATAGGGATTGCATTGAATCTATATAAATTACCTGGGGTAGTATTCACTTCTTAATATTATGTCTTTCAATCCATGGACATGGAATGTCTATTTATGTCTTAATTTATTTTAGTAATGTTTTGTAGTTTTTAGTGTACAAGTCTTTCACCCTCTTGGTTAGGTGTATGCCTACATATTATATTGGTGCAAAAGTAATTGTGGTTTTTGCCATTAAAAGTACTGGCAAAAGCCACAGTTACTTTTGCACCAACATAATATCCAAGTCTTTCACCATCTTGGTTGAGTTTATTCCTAAGTATCTTAAACTTTTTTTTCTCTACATGTTCAGAGAAACTTCTTTAGTCATTAACTATAAAAAGTATCCCCGAAAGTATAATTTTGATGCGATTGTAAGTAGAATTGTTTTATTAATTTCCTTTTGGGATTTTTATCATTAATGTATAGAAATGCAACTGATTTTCATGTTGATTTTATATCCTGAAACTTTGTTGACTTTATTTATTCTTTCTAATAGGTCTTTTTGTGTGGACTGTTCAGGGTTTTCTACATAAAAGATCATATCATCTGTGAAGAGATATAATTTTACATCTTCCTTTACAATTTGGGTGACTTTTGTTATTTTTCTTGCCTAATTGCTCTGTGGGCATCTTCTTGTTCTTTATCTTAGAGGAAAAGCTTTCAGTTTTTTGAGTATGATGTTAGCTGTGGGCATTTCATATATAATGTATGTTACACGGAGGCAGTTTCCTTCTATTCCTAGTTTGTCAAATGTTTTTATTGTGAAAGGGTATTGAATTTTGTCAAATGCTTTTTCTGCAACTATTGAGATGATTACGGGTTTTTTTTACCTCTCATTCTGTATATTACGCTGATTGATGAGGAATAATTCTTGCCTTCCAGGTATAAAGCCCATTTAGTCATGGTGTACAATCCCTTTAATGTGTGTTTTTTTTGTTTTTTGGTTTTTTTTTGAGGCGGAGTTTTGCTCTTGTTGCCCAGGCTAGAGTGCAGTGGTGCGATCTTGGCTCATTGCAACCTCTGCCTTCCAGGTTCAAGTGATTCTCCTGCCTCAGCCTCCCGAGTAGCTGGGATTACAGGCACGCGCCACCATGCCTGGGTAATTTTGTATTTTTAGTAGAGACAGGGTTTCTCCATGTTGGTCAGGCTGGTCTCGAACTCTCGACCTCAGGTGATCCACTCCCCTTGGCCTCCCAAAGTGCTGGGATTACAGGCGTGAGCCACCGCACCTGGCCTAATGTGTTGTTGAATTCAGTTTGCTAGTATTTTGTAGTTTCCCCCTGGTTGCACCTCATCCTCATTATGTCACATATGGGGAAGGGCAGGGATGAGTGCACAGAATGCCCCAAATTTTATTACCCCCTTCACTGGAATGCCTTCTTGGTTTTATGGCTTGGGTGCTGTAGCTTCTTAACTATTCTCTAGAGTTCTCACGGAAGTAGTTCTGTTCCATATATTGTTTTATTTCTGAGGTGTATAACTGGACTTAAGTATAGATTTGGAGCCATCATATAGATGGTAATTAAAGCTCGTGAAGAGAGTGAAAATATGTAGAATGAGAAGGGGCCTCATACAGACCTTCAAGAATACCAACATTTAAGAGCTAGATAAAAGAAAAATTAGAAGGAGCATCCAAAAATGGGATAAAACCAAACCAGGAAAAGTTTGTATCATAAAAGCCAAGCAAAGAGTGCTCAAAGGAGTAGGCAAAAATAACACATATATTTTGGGAACTGTTGTAAGAACTTTTGTATGTATTTTAAAAAATTAATCCTTTTAATAATCCTATGTAAATTTTGTACTATTTTAGTCCTTTTAAGAGATGAAAGAAGTGAAGCAGAGAAATCATGTAGCTAGTAATATATAAAAATGTTCAATATAGCATTATTTGTAATATCATAAAACCAGAAATTACCTAAAATCTATCAGTTGGGGGTTTAAATTATGGTTTATGAAATGTAAAGAAGCCATTAAAAGAAAAAGGTTGGTCCATATGTATTGAAAGGATTCCATAATATACTGTTGAGTGAAACACATTAGTTTCAATGTGCGGGTGATGCTTTTTAAAAAAAAAAATTGTTTTGTTTGTGTATGTTGGCCAGTATGTGCATGGGAAAGTGTCTGTAGGGATATACATCAGATTCATAGTAGAGATTTCTGGGAATTGAGCAGCACTTTTCATTTTAATTAATTTAGCCCTATTGTGAGTTTTTTAGTATAGCATAAAAACATGTTTAAATAAGATTTAAAGAGGATTCATTTGAGTTAGAAAATCTGAGAAAATTAAGTGGGTGTGTTATATTCTGTTATACAAAGACAAAGTGGTCAGTTTTACTAAGGAAAGATTTAGCCATGGGGAAGGAGTTCATCTTCTTGAGATCATGGGATTTTGAGGAATACAATTCAGATTGCAATGGTTGAGGAATGAATAGGAGATGTAGAAATAATAAAGGTGCTAAATGCTATTACTTCCTAACTGCATGTCAAACATATTTAAAAATATTTAAATCATAGGATAATCGAGTTCACATTGGGCCAAAAATGGAAATTCGGGTCGTTACATTAGGATTGGATGGTGCTGGAAAAACTACTATCTTGTTTAAGTTAAAACAGGATGAATTCATGCAGCCCATTCCAACAATTGGTAAGTATGAATATTGGTTTTTACCTTAAAGAACAGTTAATAGACAAACCCTAGCTTACAGCCGAGTTCTTGGGGTCTTATTTGATACTGATCTGTCATGGTGGTGGGCTCTTTTCTGGCTTTAAGATATCAGCATCTCAGAGAAAAAAATGTAAGATTGTATGGCTATGGGATTGAAATGTGGATGGGGATAAAAAGAATCAGAGTATTGGTGGGACAGTTGGAAGGAATAGAGGATTGGTGATCCTGGCTGAGGGTGTGGGGTGGGGGGTGGTAGTGGAACAGAGCTTGAAGGTACATGGATTCCAAGGTCCTAAGGACCTTGGTGGAGGTTTAGAGGGCTAGGAGCTGTTACAGGTATACATTCTCCATGTAGGAGTAGGAATGGGGTTGATTAGGCTTCAGTAGATATTGCTGCATATAGATAATTGATAAGTCACAGTTATAAACTGGGGGGTTGTCTGTGTTTGATGTGTCATTCATTGTAAATATAAATATAAAAGTAACTTTTTTTAAAAACAGGTTTTAATGTGGAAACTGTAGAATATAAAAATCTGAAATTCACTATTTGGGATGTAGGTGGAAAACACAAATTAAGACCATTGTGGAAACATTATTACCTCAATACTCAAGGTGAGAGTTAAAAATAACATTTAATTTTTCACATTTTTAGGATGACAGTTTTCAGTGTACTGATTTAACTAGCAAAGCTGATACGTATAAGTCCTTGACTGTATACTTAAGTACCAGTGGCCAGTTTATCTTGTAAAAAATGAAAATAGAAAGATTACGATATGTACTTTTAGTTTATTCCTGATAAACCATTATTACAGAATAAAAGCCATACGTACCTTAGATACATAGTCAGTTAAGAGTACTCTTGCTTCTCTTAACAGAGAATGTATATTATCAGTATTATATGGGTGTGATTGCTGGTAGTGTCGTGGTATAGAGTTGAATTTATATTGTATGATTCTGCTGAATTCAGTTAAACTCAACATTTATCCCATTATAATCTCACTATAGCCCCACTCCCACATTTCTTTCACAAATAGTTGTTACCTGCAGAAGAATTTACAGTGGCTTGCTTTTGACCAAACTGTATTATATCATATGTATACTCTACATAGGTTTTAGTCACATTTGGGTCTTATTCTACACTTTTGCCTCATAGACCACAACATAGAGCTTACGCTCATGCCACTTATTCTGTATGTTATCCTGCTTTCCACTAAGATGAGAGACTGAACAATTATTTTTACTTTGGGATTTTTAGTATTTAGTATGACCCATAATTAATAGAAAACATGTATTTTGTTTTTGAGACAGAATCTTGCTTTGTTGCCCAGGCAGGAGTACAGTGGCATGACTGCAGTTCACTGCCACCTCTGTCTCCTGGGCTCAAGCAGTCTTCCCACCTTAGCCTCCCAAGTAGCTAGGACTACAGGGGTATGCCACCACATTCAGCTAATTTTTAAATTGTTTTTTTTGTAGAGACAAGGTCTCACTATATTGCCCAGGGCTCAAGTGATCCTCTCACCTAAACTCCTGGGCTCAAGTGATCCTCTCACCTCAGCCTCCCAAAGTGCTGGGATTATAGTTGTGAGCCACTGTGCCCTACAAAAATGAAATTTTGAATATGAGGAATGGTTGAAAGTCTGGGGATAGTTAACTTAGACATAATACTTTAGAGAGATAAAAATGGTGATGGTTTTTGTCTTTTAGTCTTTTATTCAAAGACTAAATATTACAAAAGTAGTATTCGAAGAACAAGTAGCATCAGTAGGTAGAGGATCATGAGGCCTATTTTGCAATTTGTTATGTAAAAAATGTTATTTGATATACAGACCAATTTGCATTTGATAGAGCAAGTGTTGTAAATCCTTTCATAGATGGGGAAACTAAACCTGAGAAGTTATGTAAACTACTTGAAATCATATCGTTAATTTTTTTGTAGGTGCCCCTGCCATACTAGGCAGACTCTGTGTGAAAATAATGATGGTAGACAAACTCTAACCATAATAATGATGTCATTAAATATTTGGTTCATTTACTGAACTTTAGCAAGTGACTAATTAGTATTTTGGTTTTTTTATTTGTTTGTTTTTTGGGTAGCTGTTGTGTTTGTTGTAGATAGCAGTCATAGAGACAGAATTAGTGAAGCACACAGTGAACTTGCAAAGTTGTTAACAGAAAAAGAACTCCGAGATGCTCTGCTCCTGATTTTTGCTAACAAACAGGTAATGCATTTTTATATTGGAATATTTATTTTAGTAGTTTTGTGCATGTCATAAAGTAACTGGAAATATTTCAGAAGACAGTCAGTTCCATAGATATTTATAAAGTTTCTTCTGTGTATTTTGAGTACAATCTATGTGAAAATGCTGTGCTGGGTACCTGGGAGTATACAAAATAGAAATAAGGTAGTTAATGCTCACCAGAAACTCTTGTGTATGCATATGAACCCATAAATGAGATACGAATACAAAGAAAACTGATAAGTAACTTCAGTAACACAGTGTTATGGGAATTAGGAGAGTAGTTCTAAATGTGGCATGTTGTAAGATTGTAAAATGTAGGATTTGAGTTGAAATTATGGATGAGGCTGAGTCAGTATGTGAAAGGAAGAACATCATAGAGAAGATAATAGCATGAATGTTTTTAGTTTAGGGAACATCAAGCAGATCTTCATGTCAGGTCCAGGTAGAGGATGAAGAGAATTTAGAATAACAGACAAGGCCATGCTGTAAAGGTCTGACAGGGCTAGACTGAGAAATTTAGGTTTTATTCTCTGAGCAAAGAAGAGTCATCAAAATGTTGGATTAGTGGGTAATAAGATCATATCAGTGTTTTAATACTGTAATTCTGGGGGTAGAATGAATCAGGGCAAAGGACTGGAGACAGGGAGATGCAGTTAAGTTGCTTAAATAATTCAAGTGAGCATTAACAAGAGTCTGAATTTGATGAATAGAAAGGCGGAGGCAGATGGAGAAGACTTTGAGGTACGAATGGGGAGGATGAAGGACTGGGAGTAGCTGAAGATTCCTAGGCCTTGAGCCTTTCTAGGAGGATGAGATGCTTTTAAGTAGAGGTAGGAGAGTAGAAGTGGAACAGAGGAGATGTCATGGGAGGGGAAGAGTAGGATGAAGAATAAAGAATTTTCCCCTTAATAAAAAAAAGCAAACTGTTAAGAACTGGTATATTTAAGACATGCAAATAAGTCAGTGAAATACCATTTTGTGCTCATCAGATAAAGATGAAAGTGTTTTGTAATTCTCAGGCTTATATACACTATTACTATTATTATTATTATTGAGACTGAGTCTTGCTCTGTCACCAGGCTGGAGTGCGGTGGCACAACCTCTGCTCACTGCAGCCTCCCCTTCCTTGGTTCAAGCGATTCCCCTGCCTCAGCCTCCCAAGTAGTTGGGATTACAGGTGCTTGCTACCACGCCCGGCTAATTTTTGTATTTTTAGTAGATTCAGGGTTTCATCGTGGTGGTCAGGCTGGTCTCAAACTCCTGACCTCAAGTGATCTGCCCGCCTCATCCTCCCACTGTTGGTAGGTTATTAAACTGAGACATTTTCTTGGAGGACAGTTTGGCAATACTCATCAAAGTCCTTTACTTTGCAATTCTACCTTTATGTATCTGGTAGACAAATATCCGGAGGTTATCCTACAGATAACTTTGCAAATATACATAAATGTATGTCAACTTATTTTTGTGTATGTATGCTTATGTATGTACGTGTGCGTATATATATGGATTTATAATAGCACATAAGCACAAAACTTCAATCTGAACATTCAGTATAGGACTGATTAAATTATGTTGCAGCTGCACAATGGAAGGGAATTCTGAGCAGACCATCTGTGCTGATAATGGAAAGATACTCATCTTCAACATGTTTACGTAAAAAACAAAAAACCCTGCAAGTTATAGAAAGTGTAAACTATGTTCCTGTTTGTGTCTATTTGCATGAGTGTGCATGGAAATTTTCTGGAAAAATATGTTGTTACTGGTGGTTGCTCCTGGGAAGTCGGGGCAGTGGGTGTTCAGAGTGGGAATGTAGTGAACTCTTCAATATATAACCCTATATATAAACCATTTATTAAGGTTTCCATGTGTTAATTTTTTTTTTTTTTTAAGTTGATGCCTTACATTTAGGCAGGCTGGGCGTGGTGGCTCATGCCTGTAATCCTTGCATTTTGGGAGGCTGAGGTTGGTGGATCACTTGACGTCAGGAGTTCGAGACCAGCCTGGCTAACATGGTGAAACCCTGTCTCTACTAAAAATACAAAAAAATTAGCCAGGCATGGTGGCACGTGCCTGTAATCCCAGCTACTTGGGATGCCAAAGCAGGAGAATCGCTTGAACCAGGAGGCAGAGGTTGCAGTGAGCCAAGATCATGTCACTGCACTCCAGCCTGGGTGACAGAGTGAGACTCCGTCTCATAAGATAAAAAAATTACTTAGGCAGTATGTTTCCATTTAGGTTGCAAGGCCTTTATTGATTTCATTGTTAAGCTAGCCTTACAAAATATATACATACACACACATATAAATTAGTTAAACCAAACTATTTTTTTCTATTCTTATTAATCTCAGAATAATTACTGAAAGATGAGTCTAGGTTTTTTGTTTAGGCTTCTGTTAGAACAAATAATTTGGATGGACTGATAAAAAATATGTGTATATCTTTCAGGATGTTGCTGGAGCACTGTCAGTAGAAGAAATCACTGAACTACTCAGTCTCCATAAATTATGCTGTGGCCGTAGCTGGTATATTCAGGGCTGTGATGCTCGAAGTGGTATGGGACTGTATGAAGGGTTGGACTGGCTCTCACGGCAACTTGTGGCTGCTGGAGTACTGGATGTTGCTTGATTTTAAATGCAGCAGTTGTTTGAAGTTTTATGGTTAAGAGTAACTTTGCAACTAATATGTTTTAGGAAATTATACATCTCAAAAGATGGTAATTTAGGATATATATATATAAATATAAAGGAATCTTGGATTGGATTGGGAATTCAGCACACTGCTTTAAAAAAATTTTGTGGCAAAATTAAATTTCTAATTGAGCAGATTAGATTGAATTAAATAGAAATTTATTGAATATACATTCTTTTAAAAAGTATATTTGTTATTTAAGTTTTTCAGATAATGTGACCAATGTACTGGGAAAGAGGTAGTCACAGAGAAAGGGTAAGTGAAGGTTTATTCTTTCAGTGAAAAAAAAATAGCCAATTGAGTGCCTAATGAGACCTCTGTGTGAAGCAAGTGAAGTATAGCTTCTTCTTTTAACCTGCCTTTTCACTGAATGTTGGCAGTATTTAGTAGTAGAAATGACAGTTGCTTAATGAAATAGAATCCAAACTACATCTTTGGATAATAGGATTACTTTATGTTTAAGTTCAGAGTTAACAGAACACCTTTAATGCTAAGAACTATAAGGTATAGAAAATTAATATTTTATATAGTGTTTTATTAACTTTCTCCTACAGCATTTTGTATAAAACACAGTGAGACAGAGTGAAGTGTTACCTAATTAGGCTTGTCAGATTAGTAATAAACTAAACAGTAATAAAACTGTGAAAGTAATTGGATCTTCATTTATGAAAGACCCATTTTCAGGACCGAACCTAGGTCAGAGTTCTAAATTGGTCCTTCTATTTTCAACGTATTTAAAGTAATATTTCTTTCTAATATAATACTGCATCCTTTGTGGGAATGACTATAGGTAAAATGTAGTAAGTTACACAGAACCAGGGTTGGCTTTATGTAAAAGCTAGTGACCTAAATTGAAAACGAACTTTAAGAGAAATTGTTAGTACAGTGGGGAATGCTTATTACTTACTTCAAACTGTTTCCCAAAATAAGTGCATTTATTTTGACAATAAAACTTAAGGCTCTTCATGAAAAGGCCTTGAAAAGTTACTTTAGAGGAAGAATGTCTAAAGGAAAAAAAAAAATTCAAAAAGTTTACATTAATTATTCAGTGTTGTGAGTAAATAAAAATGTGTGCTCTTTACTGTTTTTCATTTTTAAAGGATACTCTCTTATTATGGAAGCACGATTTATTTAAATAGGTACATTGAGATTTTGTGTGTGTTTTTTTTTAAATGTTCTGATACATTAGGATGAAGTTAAATCTTAAATCTCATTAGTTGAATTGTTATAAGGACAGTGATGTCTGGTAACAAGATGTGACTTTTTGGTAGCACTGTTTTGGTTCAGTCTTTTCAAATCTATTTTTGTTTGTTTAAAAACAATACAACTTTTAAAAAACAAAGCATTAAAAAAAAGCCTATCAGTGTTATGGGCAAATATGTAAATAAGTAAATATAATATTTCATCCTTTATTTTTCAGGTAAAAGGTCATGCTGTTACAAGTGTAGTTTGTGTGCATAAATAATACTTCTGAATTAAATTATTTAATATTTGACTGATTTCAATAACTGTGAAAAATAAAAAAGGTGTTGTATTGCTTGTGAGAACTTGAACTGTACTAGTTAATTGAAGAAAAAAAAGTGTAACACTAAGGTGAACCTGCTTCCCTTTTCACCAATTTTGCTAAACTTTGTAATGCATTGTTAGCATATAACTGAACACAATTTAAAAATTGTGCCTATACCTGATTATAATGTATGTATAACGGTAGGTGTTTGTGTGTGATTCCTTTTTAAAGAAATATTTTCCTCAAGCTCCTATTACTATTTGTGGTTGTGGTTGTATTATTTCACTAATCATTAGTTAAGACTGTGCTAGTCTCCCCTGGGAAACTAAGACAGCTGTTTTAAATACAGTATATTAGAAATTTTCCTAATAGCTCTGAATTTCTGTATTAGGTCTAAATATTACTGTATGGTTATATAAAGCAGATATGTCAAGTGTATAGCCCTAGTCTATAATTCAGGAATGCTTTATAACCATCAGAAGCCATTATTTGCACTACATATATGATAAGTATAGACAGCAATAAAATGTTAAGATCATTTTTAAGAAGTCCTATCATTCTTGAAAATCTCTTTCTTGAACCATCTATCTAGTATTAGTAGTAGTTAGTAACCAATTTAAGAAGTCATTATTTGTGCTGTGGTTGAGAGAAAATAAAACAAAATGGGTATGGGTTGACATGCCTGTCAAATTTGAGATACAGTTTATTTGATACAGCAAAATTTTAGAAATAACATTTTGAATTTGCAACATAGGCCACATTTACTTATGAGAACAGATACTACACTTGATCTTAGCCAAAAGGCCGAGAAGTGATGTGCAGGCCATATTTAAATAAGTAATATAACCATAGTGTTTTGAAGGCGGAGCTAAAGTTTTACATTAACAAAGTGAAACTTTGTTACTGCCTTTTAAATTTTAAATGTAAACTTGTTTCATAAGAAAACACAGCATTTTAAATGATCATTTCAGAAAATGGCTTGCAAAACTTAGCCATAGCTCATGAACTAATACTGCTAAGAGAAAGGCTTTTTATGTAACATTAGGATACTTCTCAACTGGCAAAGTGGTAGCAGGGAAGAAGACAGCCAGCTGTATTCTTCCCTAAAAGAATAAAGGATGAAAAGGACTAATGAATAAGAATGAAATTATATCCTGATAACTTAAAACATGCTTTTAAAAAGACATGGACAATGTATGTTTTTAGGTCTGCCACTTAAGTTTTTAGCATTAATGGAAAAATTCATTAGTCAAATACGGTTTTCACTCAAAGCAAAATAATTGTATTTGTTGGGGAATGAGGCATCATCACCACTTGGTGGCAATATTACCAAAAATTTAGATTAAATTTTTAGGAATGAATAAAGTTAGGTAGGTAAGTCTAAACAACTAAAATTAGAAACAGTAAATGTCACATTGAAAAGTCACTTTCATGTCCAACTTTAAGTTCTACTTTTAAAAAGGAGCATACATCACAGGAGCACAATCTGGCATAATCTCCTATTTCACAAGTTTGTAGCACAAAATAAATAAAGGAAAGAATCCTGCTGATCAATAGAAGGAAAAGTTTAAGCAGATTTAAAACTTCAGAATATAAATTCCCTACACAGGTCTGTTGAGCATGTTCTTCCTGTAAGTTTCTGAAAGACTCTTTCTGGAATCGAAGCAGTGGGTCTTAATAGTTACGAACTAAGTTATAAGCGTAAGTGAAGAAATCAGTATAAGAATTTGTGCTTATATTATTTTACTGCTCCAATTTCTACTAATCTCTCCATTGTTAGATAGCAAAATTTTTATGTATACTTCTTAATGGTATATTTTCTAAAGATATAACTTGAGGACAGAAAAAACTGTTTACCTATGTTAGAAAAATAATCTGAAAGAATAATCAACCTGCATACAATAAACCAAGGACTCGGGTATTCACTTATTCTGAATCTTTCATTTGAAAGAATATTTCATAATTATTAAGGAATATAACACTTTAACCAAAGTAACTTCTTGTTTATTGAGGCTTTACTTACCACTACTTACTAAACAATTATCAAAAGACTAAAATATTTGGCATTAAAACCTTGCAAAACAAAGGAAATGACATATAATATCAGATCCTAGTATTTTTTCTTGGAGGAGGGATCTGCACTCCTCTAAACATGCAGAGTATCTGGCATGTATTCAAAAACTAAAGCACAGGTGTGTACCACTGTCGTCATTTAATAGGGTTGTCATTGCACAGGATACCTTCTAAGACCTCCAGTGGATGCCTGAAACTTCAGATGATACTAAACCCCATATATATTGTTTTTCCCTATATATATATCTATGATAAGGTTTAATTTATAAATTAGGCACAGTAAGAGATTAACAACAATAAAATAGAATAATTATAGCAGTATACTATAATAAAAGTTATGTGAATGTGGTCTTGATGTCTGAAAAGATCTCACTGTATTGTGCTAACCTATTTTTGGATTGTGGTTGACAGTGAAAAGAAAACCATGTGGAAAGGGGGTGGGGGAGAGTGTCGTAATTATTTAATATTTAATTTGAGGCTCATTAGCAATTACCTATAATGAGTGCTGTTTGCCTGAGTTTAGTCCATTTCAATTTATCACCTCCCAGGATTAGAAATATTGCAAGAAAAGTCAAAGGTAATTTTTTAAAAATAGCCTTTAATAAAAAATACAAAAATATAATATTGTATCTTTGAAACATGATCTGTATATTCAGCAAGTCCTAAGCTCCCTAATGTAAAATAATCTGTTTAATATTGCATTTTTATTTGCAAGTACATTAAAACAAATCTTATTTTACTTGACAGTAATATTTATGATGCTGACATCCTCATAGGGCTTATCTGTTTTGGGATTGACTTTGACGTTGGAGATCCTCTGTACAACTTCCATTCCTTTAGTCACTCGTCCAAATACTGTGTGCTTATTATCAAGCCAAGGCTGTGTTGGAGGACAAATGGAAAATCTTGGTAAACCCCAATTTCTTTAAATTATATCCTCCGGTTGAGCAAATTAAAGAGAATTTAAATGTGGGCTCCCCTTTAGCATATATTTAAAAAGAAGTACAATAATTTCTTAGCAATAAAAATGTAGCAGCTTTTAAAAGTTACTTCCAGTGTATTTAAAAAAAAAATAGAAGCATAGTATAATATTTAATTAAATATCTGCATCTTTCAGACCAAAGGGAAATGGAAGATCTTCCCTAAAGGTAAGTTACTTCACATGGCTTACAGAATTGTGGCTAAGAATTTAAAAGGTCTCTGGAGCACTCTTACCTGAACAGTTTATTCAGAAGCAGTTTGAAATAGTTTAAGCAGCACATACTTTGGCATTAGACAGATGGGAGTTCAAATGCTAGCTTGGCTACTTGACCTTTTGACAAGTTAATCATGTCTGTTTCATCATCTATTATTGAAAACTAGGGATACCGATACTAGAAGTACTGTGAATACTACATGAAACTATGTGCCTGGCAGATGGTAGTTATAAATATTTTTCCTTTCTTCATCACTTAGTGCTTAATTCTAAAACAAAAAGTAGGTAATTTTTATAATTTTGTGTTACTGCATAGCAATAGAGCGAGGTTACCTTAAACTGTATTTCATCAAATCTAAAATGTAATTGATTTATGAGTTGTATTCTGATTTCAGAGATACTAAAATGTGGGGGAAATTGTCTCAAAATTGTGAATTCATATACTCTAATCCTTGTATTCTGAAGATGAGGAAATAGGCCCACAGAGGTGAAATAATTTATTTTATGTTACATCATCAAGTAGAGGCAAAGTTGACATTGAAACTCAAGTATCTTGAATTGTAGTCCATTGTATTTCTTACTACAGTGGAAGTTTTGTTTTACCAAGTCTAAACTGATTAGTCACATAATTTTATATTTTCTTCTCAATCATTTTCATATTTGTATTCTGTAGATGATATAAATAATGCAGAAAATACAGAATAATGCAGCTCTTCTACTGAGTTCACTCTCTTACATCATAACCTATCAATCTCTAGTTTATAAACAATGATATTGTACTTACTGTTGGTACTACTGTTATGAAAAACTGGGATCCATTAGTATTCGATCCCGCGTTAGCCATGCTGAGTGTGTATGGTCTGTCATGTCGTAATGTTGAATGAAATTCATCTTCAAATTCTCCTCCCCATATGCTTTCTCCTCCCATACCAGTACCTGTTGGATCTCCTGTCTGAATCATGAAGCCCTTAACAGAAAGTACACAAAAACATTACACTGTCCTTTTCTATATACGTATACTTTGAAGTTTTATTTCTGCCAAGAGTGCTATGTATTCAGTGTAATATTAACTGTCACTATAAAGTGATTTGATTAAACCCTTACACTTAAATTTGGATGATGTACTTCCATTGCTCAACCACCACCTTGATTGAAAGGTCCTCTTCTCATTTATAGACATGTTCTATCTTTCCCAATAACCTAAATAAAGCCAGTTAATACTATAAATTTTAGGATCTGTATGTTATTTTATGGTTTATATAATTGCCCTCCTCTTCTCCCTCTCCCTTTCCTGAAATACTCTGGATTTCCTGGAAAGCCTTTTCACTAATTCCTTTAGGACCCTGAGATCTGACTTTCCATCCTGCCATTTCTGACCTGCCAGAAACCAAGCACTGTATCACTGTCCCATCCACCTTATGGAAAGCTGCTCAACAAAATCCAGGGGCTGAGTTCTCTCTCCTCCTCTGGTATATTACAGGTTCTCACAGATCAGATGGCACTGTGGCTCCTCTATGATTGAAAAATCGTATCTTCTAGATCTAGACCCTATCTAGCCACTACAAACATGTTACCTAGGTTACTGATGTTATCTCAGCATGACCCTTTATTCATTATCTTACCCTTTACTTTAGCTGCTGACAAAATATTGCTTCAGTGTTTCTAAACAGGTAATCATGCCACTATTCCTGTTGATTCTAGATGTTGATATTTATGACCATCCACTCCTCCTTTGGCTTCCATAGTATATTTTTCCTGTTCCTTTCCACTAAACTGGTAAGCATGAGAGAAGATTCCTTGCACTTAAATCTCTTGCTATGTAATAATATAGTATTTCTTAAATCATATGAAATTTGTGTAACTTACCTTAATTATACGGTGAAATGTATGCCCATTATAATAACCATTTCTGCTGTGAACACAGAAGTTTTCCACTGTCTTAGGGCACCTATTAAGACATATATTACCAATATGAAACCTATTCAGAGCATCTTAAAACAGTTTTCTTTGCAGTTCTGCTTCCTAATGATGTTCTATGTCTTCTGAATGTTTCAGAAGGACAGTTTTTTTTTTTTTTTTTATAACCTCTAATCTCAGGACAAGCATGGAGGGGCATGTAAGTAGTATATTCTTATTGTTTAACTTAGTTATCTTTAGAACATGACTGCTTAACTAATATTTGAGTTTGACAGTACTAAGATTTCAAGGTCATTTAGCAGTTAAAAAAAATACAGCTGGCCAGGTGCGGTGGCTCACGCCTGTAATCCCAGCACTTTGGGAGGCCGAGATAGGCGGATCATGAAGTCAGGAGATCCAGATCATCCTGACTAACACAGTGAAAACCCTATCTCTATTAAAAATACAAAAAATTAGCTGGGCGTGGTGGCGGGTGCCTGTAGTCCCAGCTACTTGGGAGGCTGAGGCAGGAGAATGGCGTGAACCCAGGAAGCAGAGCTTGCAGTGAGCCGAGATCGCGCCACTGTACTCCAGCCTGGGCGACAAAGCGAGACTCCATCTCAAAAAGAAAAGAAAAGAAAAGAAAAAAAACAATACAGCCACAACACCTTAAAAATATGTTTTTTCTTAAGAGATAGGGTCTCACTATATTGCCTAGGCTGATCTTGACCTTCTGGGCTCAAGAGATCCTCCTGCCTCAGCCTCCTAAAGTGCTGGGATTACAGGCCTGAGTCACTGCACCTGGCCCAACATCTTAAGTTAGTTTACTCCATACAGTATTATAGGTCTGCATGTAGTAGTACAGGTTAAGTTCCTGGGAAAGGTCATTTTCTTACAACGACATATTCTTGGCCAAAACCTTAATCATAGAAATGACATCTAAATTTATTCAACTTTAAATGACAGTCTCACTCAGAGTATGAAGCTTTCTCAATAATATTAACTGATATTATGCAATTATTTCATATGGTCCATTACCATGTAATACTTCTAAGAGCTGGAAATGGATGAACCAAGAGAATCTTGTACCCAAGTACATCAGCAAACAAGGCCGAAGAGCACATGGGTTTTGAGCACTTAAACTGAGTGTCCAAGATTTGAGAACTGCCTAGTTATTTGTTGAGTACCAAGATATGGTACAAAACATTCATATTCAAAATATTAATAACTTTTAAGTAAAAGTGTTGTAAAAGATGTCATTTTTTGGGTCAAGAATGGCCCGAAATACTCTACTGTATTTGACATTGTATGTTAATTTTAAAATCTTTTAAACTGTCCAGAAAACCGTTCACCTTTTTTTCAATTGAAGTCCTTATGGTTTTGTTGTAATTTGTTTTTGTAGAAACAGAGTCTCACTCTGTTGCCCAGGTTGGAGTGCAGTGGTGTGACCATAGCTAATTGCAGCCTCAAACTCCTGGGCTCAAGACATCTTTTGACCTCAGCCTCTAGCAGAGTCAGGAATATAGGTGCGTGCCACCATGCCCAGCTAATAAAAAATCTTTTTAGGAGACAGGATCTTGCCATATTGCTTGGGCTAGTCTCAAACTGCTGGCCTCCACTGATCTTCCTGTCTCAACCTCCTGAATAGCTGGGATTACAAGTGCGTGCCACTGCACCCAGCTTATAGTTCACTTTTAAAACACAGAGCTATTGCAACTATAAAGAGATAGGTATCTAGCAACTGTTCGTAAGGAAACATAATTATCTTTCTCTCAAGGATTTGCTTTGAGAGGAAAGCAAAGCAATCCATAAAACCTAGAGTTTGTGCTGTTAGAGATGTGCTGTTAACACATTTGTATATCACTTGACAGTTTACACTCAGCACTTTCATAGCCAATATATTTTGTCTTCGTAATGAACCTATGAAGTATATATGTATAAAAATTTTTCATTTTCTACCATAACACTTATCAGAAAGATCAGGAATAGATGTTTTTTATCAAACATTTCTTCAAAATTCCTTAAGTCAAAGTAATGGGAATTTTAAGTTGCATGGTTTCTTCAGATATACACATTTACATTCTTAATTACGTAAGCCAATACAAACAGTTATACATACTCAACAGGAAAAAGTTTGGTGTGAATGTCTCCCATGCTGGTGTGGATAATGGCACTATCCGAAACTCGTTTAGGTCCTTCAGCTTGAGTAGCTGCCATGACTTCTTCTTTAGAAGGTTTCTCATTAAAAACATCTCGATCAGAATCTGCACTTTTTGTATCTTCTGGTTCTCGTTTGGTAAACTCGAGGAGGAAAGTAAAAAGTGAGTGAACAAATTAAAGTTTTCATCTGGTAAAAATTTTATGAACAATAGAATTTCTAATTAAGTACTTAAGAAATGTAAGAATTCACATCAGAATCCTTATTTCAGGAATCATTTCCCATCACAGGATGTGTCAGGCAATTAAATTATTTTTACATTGTCTAATATGAAAATGATCCACATAACATACTGAACACATTGATTTCAAATGGAATTTAATTTCTTTTGGCTAGAAATTTTCTTGGGCAAACATTTAACAAGAGTAATTGTTTCATTTGTGGTAGCTCTCAACTTATGCCTTCTAGTAAGGCCTAACGTGCCACCTGTTTATTGCTCACTTCATTATTTAGATTGTTTGGATTTGAATTCCAATTCTGCAACTTTGGGGATGTGAATTCATTTCTTCCGTCATTCATATATGATGATAACAGTACCTACCTTGCAATGAAGGTAGTTGTGAAGATTAAACAAATAGATATTAAGTCCTTGGAGAACAGTACCTAATACATAGAGGGTACTATATACATATTAACAGTTGTTATTACTACTATGAGCAGGACCTCATGCTAGGTAGAAAAAGGATTCACAAAAATGAATCAGTAATGGATCCTTAATTTTTTTTTTCCGCAGTCCCACCTGACCTATCTAAACCCTGAAGCATAGGAGAAAGAATGAAAATTTTCAGTGAAGTTGTAGACATCTCAGATCCTCGGGGTCTAGGAAGAATTGAGAAAAACCTTTCAGTTGTTCAAACTCTGGACTTCTCAAGGCCTGTTTATTTTACTTTAAGTAGAAATGCTCTCTCCTGAGCAACCTCTATCTGATGTCAACTTAATTATGGGAACGTAAAGCTAGTGCCTCCATCTTGCCTAATGTCATTCCTTGATCTGCTTGGATAGATTCCAAATAAACAACCAAGTTAGGATGCTATCACCTTAACATCCTATTCTCTAGTTTTCAAAGGAATGGCATGTCTGTTGTACTATTTGTTTATATGATTTTTTTTTAAGTTATGATTTAGCTCATATATGGATTTGTAAAATTATACTTTTATTTCATGATGTTGGATCTGAAAAAATGGGACACAAAATTCATATATATGCATACCATTTCAGTTTTGCTTAAGAATATGTACTAGTAAGACTCAAAGAAAATTCATAACAATATTAGCTGTATAAAGCTACAGTGAATGACCATTTTGTTTCTCTATTTTTTCAAACTTTATAATGAATATATACACTTTAATCAACATACAAGTAAACTTGGAAAAGAAAAAATACAACAAAGTTTTTTGAATAAAGTGGATGGAAAATTAGTATATATGTTTTTCGTGTATATCAAGAAGTATCTTTTTTTGCCTCTTTTTGTTTAGCAATAGGGTCTTGCTCTGTCACCCAGGCTGAAGTGTAGTGGTGTGATCATAGCTCCCTGCAACCTCGAATTCCTCGGCTCAAGAGATCCTACCACCTCAGCTTCCAGCATAGCTGAGACCACATGTGCACACCACCATGCCTGGTTAGCTTCTTAAATTTTCTGTAGAGATGAGATCTTGCTATGTAGCCCAGGCAGCTCTTGGTCCTGGGCTCAAGTGATTTGCCTGCTTTGGCCTCCCAAAGTGCTGGATTTACAGGGTAAGTCACCATTCCTGGCCAAGAATTATCTTTTATGGGTAATTTTTACTTCATAACAAAGTTAAATTACAGGTAAAAACGATTAATTTTTTTCTTTCATATACTAATAAATTTTTAGTAACGATTTTGAAAGTTGTAAATGAAATTCTCATCTTAAAAGAATTTACCCATTTAGTTGGAAGGTTTGTTGAGGTAGAGAAACTGCTACTTCATACATTTATCAAATGCTGTTAACCTTAATAGCATTACAACAGTTTACAATATTTTGGAGGAATGAATGAATATATTATAATGTGTTAGTCATTTTCTTAACTTTCTGGATTTAACAGTGAAGAAGACATAGTGCCTGTATTTATAGATTTTATCTTCAGAAGAAGAGCACAGCGTCAGAGACAAAAGAAATAATCGATGTTCACACAAAAAGTGTGACACATCATATGACGGGGAAGCAAAGGAGAAACATAAGCAGGCACACCTAACTCAGACTTAGTGTTAAAAAGGGCTTCTAGGCTGGGTACGGTGGCTCACGTCCGTAATTCCAGCACTTACGGAGGCTGAGTCAGGTGGATCACCAGAGGTCAAGAGTTCAAGAACAGCCTGGCCAACATGGTGAAACCCTGTCACTACTGAAAATACAAAAATTAGCTGGGTGTGGTGGCATGCACCTGTAATCCCAGCTACCCAGGAGGCTGAGGCAGGCGAATCGCTGGAACCCAGGAGGCAGAGGCTGCAGTGAGCCGAAGTCACGTCACTGCACTCCAGCCTGGGCAACAGAACAAGATACCATCTCCAAAACAAACAAACAAAAAAAAACAGGGGCTTCCAAACTGAGACTTGAAGAATGAGTTAGGAGTTGGAGAGAAGTGTATGGCTGGCAGAATGAATAGCCTGTGCAAAGGCCCAGAGTTTAAAAAGCACACTCAACTACTGTGAATAAGTTCAGTATGGTTGCTGTAGCAAATGAATGAAAAATGAAGAAAGATAAAGCTACAGAAGTGAGGAGGGCCAGCCAGCATAGATAGCTGGGGCACCATTGAAGGGCATTAGGCAGAAAATAAGAGTCACGTTTGAGTTTTAAAAAGTTCTCTGATTGCAATGTGAAGGATAGAATGCAAGGGCAGAGATCTCTATACTTCTGATTTTCCTGCTTGGATGAACAAATAAAATTGTGCTATATGGCGTAGTAGTTTGATTTTAACTATCTCAGTCTTAGTTAACATGCAAAGTATTTTTAGTTCTTCAGAGAAAAAAAAAAATTCCACAGGAATATATAATTCCAAGGCAGCACCATTAAAATAAAAGTCAAAAGGTAAAAAAGGAAATAATTTGAAGGAAGCTGTGCTAATTTGGGGGAGATAAATTATATTCAAGAGTAAAGGCTAAAAAATAAAACTAAAAAGAAATTTTAAAATCCCACAGTGAAACTATTTTGGATGTAATTATGACTATAACCACTAACTTCCTACCATCTTAAACAACACAAACAGTTGTGGAAGCGAGGTTGAAAAATGTTCAAAACATGATGGAAAACAGTACAGAAATACTTAAAATCAACTCCTAGTTTAAAATTCTACAATATTAATATAAGATTGTATTCTAGTTGTTTAGGAAGTCTGCTGTTAGTGCCAACATTCTCTTCAGTTGAAGGTACAAACAAAGAAAAGTCAAACCAAACTAGAAGGAACATTATGGTCTAATCTCCTAGTACTTATACATACCATATAAAATCTATTCTTTTTGAATGATGTACAGACTATTGTTGGGTCAGCTTGAATATTCTGAAGAACAGGATTTTCAGAAGCTTTCATCTCTATAGTAGTTGCAGCACGATGCTTTTTGGCTATCCCCTGGAACAAAGCCAATTGCATCACTCTAATATTTTCTTGTTTGCCTAAAATCCGCACACACCTAAAAATATAACAATGTTTTTTATACAACAAAATAACCGAAGTTAATTCCAATTATGACAACTTTACAGATGAAAGCTGGGAATCAACTATCTTATCTAAGTACAACATAACTTGTGGAAGTTTTTTAAAAGTGTTTCTCTACCCCCCAAAAGCTATCAATTTAAACTGGTAGGCTGCTATAATTTTCAGGTTAAAAAATAGAAATGAGGCCAGGCATGATGGCTCACACCTGTAATCCCAGCACTTTGGGAGGCCGAGGCAAGCAGATCACTTGAGGTCAGGAGTTTGAGACTAGCCTGGCCAACGTGGTGAAACCCCGTCTCCATTAAAAATACAAGAAATTGGCCAGGCATGGTGTTAGGCACCTGTAATCCCAACTACTAGGGAGGCTGAGACACGAGAATTGCTTGAACTCAGGAGGCAGAGGTTGTAGTAAGCCGAGATCGTGCCACTGCACTCCAGCCTGGGTGACAGAACAAGACTCTGTCTCAATAAAAAAAAACAACAACAAAACCAATCAAGGGAATGAAAAGTCACAGACTAGGAGAACAGCTCATAAAGGACTGTTATCAAAAATATATAAAGAACTCTTAAAAAAAAAATCTATACATACAAAGAACTCTTAAAACACATTAAGAACACAACCCAATTACAAAATGTCCCAAGGACCTTCACATATACTTCATCAAAGAGATATACAGATGGTAAATAAGCATATGAAAAGATATTCCACCTCATATGTTGCCAGGGAAATCCATACTAAAACAAGATACCACTACACATCTATTAAAATGGCCCAAATCTGGAACACTGACTACCAAATGGTGGCACAGATGTGGAGTGACAGGAACACTCATTCACTGCTGGTGGGAATGCAAAAGAGTACAGCCACTTCTAAAGGCAGTTTGGCTGTTTCTTACAAAACTAAACATTCCGTTATCATATGATCCAACAATTGTGCTCCTTGATATTTACCAAAAGGAGCTGAAATGACTACACAAACACTTGTATGCAGATGTTTATAGCAGCTTTTACACATATCTGCCAAAACTTGGAAGCAACCAAGATGTCTATAAGTAGGTGAATGGATAAACTGGGTACATCCAGACAATGGAGTATTATTCAGTGCTAAAAAGAAATGAGCTATCAAGCTGTGGAAAGGCATGGAAGAACCTTAAATGCATATTACTGAAAGAAGCCAATCTGGACAGACTACATACTATATGATTCTAGCTATGTCACATTCTGGAAGAGGCAAAACTATGGAGATGGTGAAAAGATCAGTGGTTGAACAGTCAGAGCAGAGGATTTTGAAGGCAGTAAAACTACTCCGTATGATAGTATAATGGTGGATACTTTTATATACATTTCTCCAAACCTATAGAATATACAACACCAAGGGTGAACCCTAATGTAAACTATGGACTCTGGGTGATAATGATGTGTCAACGTAGGTTCATCAATGGTAACAAATGTACCACTCTGGTGGGGGATGTTGATAACGGGGAGGCTATGTATGTGTTCGGGCAGAGGGTACATGGGAAATCTCTGTATCTTCCTCTTAATTTTGCTGTGAACCTAAAACTGTTCAAAAAAGTAAGGTTTATTAAAAATAATCAGTCATTTGTTTATACAGTTTTGACCTATTCTTATTAAAATTCCATGTCTGTTAACTGTTCTGCAAAACTTCAAAGATTTTGTATTGCCAAGAACTACAATATAAATATGTTTATACATGGAAATGTACAGCACATTTTTTTCTCCTTAAAATATTAAGTTCTGTTCATTTACATTCAGTGAGAGTATCTGATTGTAGCTATTCTGTACTAAGACCAAATGGACTGTTTTCACAAAAAAGGCTTACTGTGGTTTCATGCATTTTTAACTTTTGATTTTATGTCTAGCAGGATGTAATGCTGAATTCTGTGGTTAAAATCTTTGGCAACATTTAACATGAACCAGGCTAATTTAAATCAATAAGCAAAAGACAGACAAACTTGTTAAAAAAAACACACAACAACTTGAAACTATGCATATCTTCTTTCCATTTCTTTTACAAACATGAGTGGAAACTTCTACATAAGAATATAAACAACCAACAGACCACAGAAAAATCCAGTCAAAACATTTGGTTAAGTTTAGATATTTGGGGCCATTCCACTTGTCTTGGAACAAACAATACTCCCACTGTTCCCATGATGGAGGAAATGGTCCCCCACAAACACATTTTTTTAAAAAATACCTCATATTAAAGCTTACCGGTTTGTCTCTACATTTATAACTTTAATGCCCAGCATTGTTCCATATAGCACGAAGTGTCCAGTTTCATCAAAAACTATATTAATTAATCTTACAGCATCAACCTTCTCCAACTCACGTTCTACAGCCATTCGTCGGCCAAATTCCATGTCTGGTAACTGCTGCCTCATCTGTTGCAGTTCAGTAAACATCTAAGAAATAAACCATTTAGTAACAAAATCTCTATATACCTATATCTGTATCAACCCATTTATCTATATATGCAATGAGAATTTAAATAGAAGCAGAATACATATTAAGAGCCACTAACCGTTTGTACTTCTTAAGAGGGATTCTAAACAGTATGAAATAGACATTAGTAAGTGCAATCACTAAAAAATAGTATTTCAGGCCGTGGTGGCTTATGCCTCTAATCCCAGCACTTTGGGAGGCCAAGGCAGGTGGATCACCTGAGGTCATTTCAAGAACAGCCTGGCCAACATGGTGAAACCCCATCTCTACTAAAAATGTAAAAACTTAGCCGGGCATGGTGACGTGTGCCTGTAATCCCAGCTACTCGGGAGGCTGGAGCAAGAGAATCGCTTGAACCTAGGAGACGGACGCTGCAGTGATCCGAAATCGCGCCACTGCACTCCGGCCTGGGTGACAGAGTGAAACTCCGTCTCAAAAAAAAAAAAAAAAATCGTATTTCAAAATGGTAACTGGTTCTTCTAATTTAAAACAAAACCCAGTTGGTTAATGTAACTACTGGTTTCTCTACAGAATACATCTGCTGCCTTTTAAAAGTCACAGAGTAGCACTTTCCAGTGAAATATAATGCAAGCCATATATGTAATTTTAAAGTGTCTAGTAGTTACATTAAATAAAAGAAACCGATGAATTTCATTTTAATGTTTGATTAAACTCAAAATATCCAGAATATCATCTCAACATTAACAATATAAAAAATTGGGATAGATTACATTCTTTTAAAAAAATATTAAGTCTTTGAAATCTTGTATTTACACTTTCAGCATATCTCAGTTTGGACTAGCCATCTCTCAAGAGCTCAGTAGACACATGGCTAGTAACTATTTATATTGGATAATGCAGCTATAGACTATGAGGTCCTTGTGCAAGGTTATGTGCCTGACATATAACAAGCTCTCAATTTTTGCTGAATGAATTCATCTCACTAATTTATAACAAATTCATGATATTTCAGAAAATGTTTCAAGTTATTTTGACACAGGGCAGTGAGATTACCATTAGGTACATGTGGTTTAGTAGACATGACTATTTCTATGAGTGTCCTTTATAGTTTGGAAAATTGGTTTACTTTTGATATTACACAAATTTCAAGATAGGCATCACATCTCTAACTGTATGAACATATTATGAACCTTCCAAAAGAAGATAATGATCTTTATATTGTTCTCTACACAATCTGGGCATCAAACAGCAGCATTCAAAAATAGCTCTCCATTGTAGATGAAAATAAGCCAGACTTCTGTCCCATCTAATTCTATCCTTATTTCCTGCTTACATCAACCAAAATCTTGTGTTTTCTAGATAAGGTTAGAACAATATACAAAACTCAAAGAATCAAAAAGAGGTACGTGTGTTAGGGTATAAGCACAAGGTCAAGGTCTTACAGAACAGTTAGAAAGCCTAGTTGTTAGGTTTTTTTGTCTCTAGTCTCAAAGACAGAGAGACTGATACATATTACGCTGCTTATTTGTGTGCCAGGAATAGCCTAGGATGCTGGACTACACATTTTGTAGGGAAGGGCCAATGATCATTTCTGCTGGAGAGAAGACTCAGTTTTTAAGGCATAAGGTCTGTAAGTGGTCATCTGTCCATATATAAGTATTCCACAAATGTTATCCAACCTGGTAAGTATCTGATCAGAATCTTTTTAGAGTGTTCTAGACTTCACAGCAGGGCTTATGTGATACGCCAACTGAACAGCCATATACAGTGACCCTGGTTAATAAATACTAAAAGATAACTCACACCATCCCATTCAATTGCTTTTCTGTTAAAGTAAGATTCTGATTGGTTAGAAACTACCCTCCTCCACTACCACCTCCTTGAGACTCCAGTCATTTACTAGTCACTAGCACTGTAAGTAATTTAACTGATGGTTGGCTTTTTTGGCAAGCTCTCATTCTGAATCTCCACTTCTGTCTTAAGTTCTACTACTGACTTCTTGTCACCTCAGGCCAATCATTTAAACAAATGTTGAAGACAACAATGAGCAAATAGAGTGAACTGAGCAGCTCAGAGTATGTGTGTTAAGAAACTTGTGTCCAGAGACTAGATTCTGAATATTCCTTTGCCTAAGGGATCTTGGATGAGCTGCAAGTTAATAGAGTTTTAAAATTTTATTTAAATTGCAAGTTATATTTAGTTATCTGCCACCATTAAAGAAAGTATTACCAATAAATGTTTCTCCTTAAAAGCAGAGTGGAAAGCTCTCTTCTTCCAACAAGAAAATGTGTCATGAGGATAATTTGGCTGGCAAACAGATCTTCACATTTGTCTGAAATTATATTACTTCAGACAGACAGACAGACAACCAACTCATTTATTACCACGTGCTACCAACTCAAAAGGGCCACTAGGAAGAGTTGACAATTTATGAAGAACTTACAGCAGGGAATCCAATGCAAATTGGTCACTGCCAAGGACAAAAGAATTGACAATGTCATATAGTAAACATTGCAACAAAGGTTCAATCCGGATAGCCTCGGATTCAGAGAACCACTTGATAGCAATAGTTGCAATCACAAAAACCACTGAATTGCATGGATTAAAAACTCTTATTCCACAACTACATGCTGTAACAAATTCTTGTTAGCAGTCTAACAAGTGATGGCTAGAGTCACTCTTTCAAGATATTTGAATAACTGTGTGTGAGGTAATGTTTTTACTGTTGGAGTTAGAATCATGAGCTAAAACAGATCACACAGGGCTTAGTCTACTGGAGGTGATACACATTAATCAAATAATATGACCATATCAAATGCTCTAAAAGAAAGAGTGATCTACAGTCACATTAAAAAAAAACTCTGCTGGCTTGGCACAGTGGCTCACGTCTGTAATCCCAGCACTTTGGGAAGCCAAGGCAGGCAGATCACTTGAGGCCAGGAGTTCAAGACCAGCCTGGCTAACATGGTGAAACCCATCTCTACTGAAAAAAAAAAAATTAGCTGGGCGTGGTGGCATGCGCCTGTAGTCCCAGCTACTTGGGAAGCTAAGACAGAAGAATCGCTTGGACAGAGGGCGGAGGCTGCAATGAGCTGGATCATGCCACTGCACTTGAGTGCGACTCTTATCTCAGAAAATAATTAAGAAAAAGAAAACAAAACAAAAAAAACCCAAACTATGCAAGACAGGATGAACAGTCAAAGCCTCGCAGGGGAAGTGAGTCTTCATTTGAAATTTGAAGTACCAGTTCAATAGGTAACGGAGGAATATGAGGAGGGAGGGAGGGCCTCACTCCAAGTGGAGGAAACAACTTATAAAAAGGTCCTGTGGTGGGAGGCATGTTCAAGAAATAAAAAGAAGGCCCAAATGGCAGAATAAGAGGCAGGGAGAACAGTGACTTATGGTTTCACAACATGGTAAGCCATGACTCTGGTCTTGATCCCAAGAACTGAAGGAATTAACTGAAAAGTTCTAGGCAAAGGAATGACATAACCAGATATATGCTTTTAAAAGATGGCCCTGGGTGCAGAGTGGATATTAGGAAGAAGCCAGAATAAAATACAGGTAGTAGGCCATGCAATAGATCAGGCAAAAGAGCATGAACTATGGTGACAGCTGTGCTGAAAAGAAATTGGTGTATTCATATTTAGAAAGCAAAATTGGCATAGAAGGGTAAAAGAGTTAAGGATAACTCTTAGATTTCTGGTTTGAGCAACTAGATGGATACTGGCACCATTTACGAAGACAGGAAAAGAAAGAGATAGCACCAGGTTTGCTTGTAATAGAAGGCTAGAGAAGTAAATTTAGAAGTAGTCATATGGACAGGAGTGAATAGTGAGAAGGGGTCCTAGAATGAGTTTTGAGGATCTTAAGAGAATAGCTTGCAAACAAAACAAAATTGTAAAAAACAAAATAACCACAAAAATAAGACAATAACTGACTTGGAAAACGCACATCATAAACCCCTAGAGAAGAGAGTTTCAAAGAGCAACACTACAAGACAGAAACAGTTGAATATCTTTTAATGTGCTAAGAAAAAAAATAACTGTCTACCTAAATGTCTATGTGTAGAAAAAAGATCTTTCAAGAAAAGGCATAAAATAAAGCATTTTTAGAAAAGTATGGTTAAATTTAAAATACACTTACGCTTAGTGATTCATCAAAGACTCTCATGAGTTTTCCAGTTAAAAACCTGAAAATTCTAACTTTTCTATCAGAACCAATAGTAGCTATTTTCTTCCCATCCGGTGAAAAACATATGCTGGTTGGATAAGCCTTACACTTGGCAAATTCATATAAATCAGTGTCAGTTTTATATTCCCAGTTCACATTTTTGGGGAATTTATATTCATGAGGAGGCCCAGTCCAGTATTCAATCATCCCAGATTTGTCAGAAGACACTACTGCTTTGAAAACTGGGTTTAGCCGTATCTGAGTAAGAGGTGATGTATGGAGTTTGTCAAAAATATGAAGTGGCTGGTTATCTCCTCGGCCATCATAAATGAAAATTTTTCCCGTACTCTTTTCAGAAGCAGCAACTGAAGAAATTGCATCCCCTGGGCAATAGATCCACTCACACTGTCCAGGAAAATAGCTAAAATCGTAAAGAATTGAAAGGGGGGGAAAAAAAAGGTCAGCACAACAAGCAAGAATCCCTCCCTATCCCACTACCAAAATGTCTTGGCCAGTGATTTAGACAGTTTTGGATTCCCTGCTCAAAAGTAGCAGAGACACAGAATGGGGAGGAACAGCTAAGAATAGTTACTTTTTTTTGTCTTTCTGACCTCATCAATATAATGATAATTCTGAGAATCTGTCAAAACACAAGAAGAGAACTGCATATAGCAGCACATTTATTTCTCTTGGGCAGATAAGGAAACTTAATCACATCTGGACCCTAAGACCTTCTGGGACATTGCTTTTTGGATCTCTCTACAACAGTCTATGTATACTTACTTTAAAATAGGTTAGCATGTAATAGTATACTTTATAAATCCTTTCTTGAAATATTTAAAATCAAATATTTTATTATGGCAATACTTCAAATAAAAATACTGTCCTAAAACACTCTCATTACTAACTAAATCTTGATATTAAAACTCTAAGCTTTAAACATTCTACCTGATTAAGGCATAAAATAATTCAGACTGATTTAATCAATTGTACTAAAACACTCAAAAATGAATGTTGTTTCCTTCAAGGTAGTGATTCTGGGAAGCGAAACTATTATTCTTTTTTTTTTTAAACCTTCCAGTATTTCTTTATTATACTTAAAAAATAAAATCTAATTTCTTTATCTTGGGTACAAAGTCCTGCAAGATCTGACTCCTGTCAACCTCACATATTCTTGTCCTCTTGCTTACTCTGCTCGACCCATATTGGCCTTCTTTCTGGTTTTTTTTTTTTTTTTTTTTTAGTTTTGATAAGTATACTTTTTATTTTTTTTAATTTTTTTTAAAATTTAAGTTGCAGGGTACATGTGTACAACATGCAGGTTTGTTACATATGTATACATGGCAATGACACTATTATTCTAACCATGGTGCTGATGCTCAAAACCTTCTGGACCTCTTCTTTAAGAATTTCTATCAAAGTCTGAAATATACTCTTCCAAGTATTCTCAAAGGGCAAACGTTCAATATTTGTGAATGAAAAGCTTTGAGGAAACAAACCTGGGGAGTAAGACAGATGATCAAGACAGGTAACTATGTTTGTGCCATTCTAACCATAAATAATGAGACTGATTTCCTTCAGTGGCTCATAAAGTCATAAACTGATTTTGAAGGAAATTCTAAGATTTGAAATTATTTGAATTGTGGACATAATTCAGCCCACAGTTGGAATTCCATCAGTTGGAATTTCTAGAGACAGGGTCTTCAGGAGGTAATTAAGGTTAATGAGCTCATCTGATGGGCTTGTGGCCTTACAAGAAGAAAAAAAGATCTCCCTTTCCCTCTTTCCTCTTCCTTCCTTCTTCCTCCAGCCATGTGAGAACATAGGGAGAAGCAAGAAAGACAGCCCTCATCAGAAATCAAACCCTCATGGAACCTTGATCTTGGACTTTCAAGCCTCCAGAACTGTGAGAAAACAGATTTCTGTATTTAAGTCACCTAGTCTATGGTTTTTTTTTTTTGTTATGGCATCCAAGCAGACTAAGGCAAGTCCCAAAACTTTCTGACACTGTTATGACTTTCAAGCTGACATTTATTTAGATGTGTATAAATTCAATATGTTATCTTAAAAAAGACATGCTTAAAACAAAGTATCAGTCTTCATACTGTACAATCTAACCATAGTTTTAGTATCAATATATTCCAAAGTTTAACATCACCAATAAATAGCTTTAATTCCAAAAATGTAAATAAACCTTATAGGAACTCAATTCTATATTACTGAGATAAGTAAAGCAAGGAAGTTAACCGTAAGTACCAGTAATTAGATATGACGGAGCTCCAGTAATATTACTAAGTAATGTCAATTTGGATATAAGGAATCCTTGTTATGATGCTGTTTAGAAATTTCTGTGATTGATAACAAACCAGAGCAGATGCTTCCAAACATTGTAAGGGTTCACTGTATCTAACTTTCCCAAGAAAAACCCAAAGGCACATTTTTTTTTAAAGATCTGGTAATACACTATTTAGAAATAACCTATTAAATGATAAAGTCTGATTTACAAATTACTTCAATAAGTTAAAATATATATACTTTTTAAAAGACTCACCCAAGTTTCAGCATGTTGATCATGTCAAAGTTCACTACATCAAACACCTTCATTGCTTTATCATCACCCACAGAACAGAACAATGCTCCCTCAGAGCTAACTGCAATACTCTCAATAACTCCTATTTCAATAAATGAAATTAAAACATTCTAGTAAATACCAATAAAATAAATGTGCATGATTCAAAGAAAAAATTTTAAAAAATTTAAAGTCTAATTAGTACAGTTTAGAAAAGAGCTACAAGAAAATGAGGTGAAATTCTTACCCAGGTGACTACGAAAATGTTTAACAAATTCAATTCCCTCTTCTATTTTTTTCCAGAACTTGACATGTCCATCATGACTGGCAGTAATAATAAAATCTGTTCTGCATATATGAAATGTTAAAAGTTAATTTCTAAAACAGATCTATGAATCACTCAGTATTCCCAAAGCAATCATTCACTAAGAATCTGACTTTTGCATAATGGGTTTTTTAAAAAAAACCTTTCTTTAAGCAGACCACTATATTACAGAACACTGTAAATTTTGAAGCTCCTTTCTGGATATCAAAACAGTTACAGCTGCATTTAGCTTAATCTCAAGAGCTAGGATCAGAATTGAAATAAAATTTGAAATTAAAATAAAAATCTCACTAAGAATCACTATACTTTGGATTCCTTATTGCTAAAATTACCCTATAGACAGTCTTTTCACAAGAAAATAAACTATTTGTCAGTAGCTGATAAGTAAATCTAAACATACTACTTTCACATACAACAAAATTCAACAAAAGTTTGTTTTATATCCTATACAAAGTATTTTGGTTACTTAAGTATCAAAAAGATTTTGTACAGAAGGATCTCTCCTATTAGGTATGTAAAAATAGAAATCATTTATGGAAACCCAGTATATGTCAGGTACTTTGTACATATTACCTTAGTAATTTTACAGCAACTCTATGTATTTTTATCATCATTTTATAAGTAAGAAATAGTTTTAAAATGTTAGATGTACTTGCCTCAGGTCCATATAGCTAGAGTGGCTTTCAATCTACCTAACCAAAAAACGTATATTCTCTGTATTACCTTCCATTGCCGTGGGTTAAAAAAACAAAACAAAAATATTTGAGAAGAGAGCGACAGCAATGCTAGTATCTATATGTTGTTCAACACACTGAGAACTTGAGACTAGAAAAGGCGCTAATATTTGGTCAGAATTATCCTATTTTTCATGAAATATAAATATTTTATTTAGATTTATATATGAAATTAAATTTGTCTTCAAGCCATCAAGAACAGACTCATCTACAAAAGCATAAAGTAATCCACCTACTTCCCATAGTCACTGCTAGTATCATCCAAGCCACCATATCTCATCCAGATTTCTATATCAGCTTCCTAACTTCTCTCCCTGTATCCATTCTTGACCTGTTTGAATCCATTCATCTCACCACAGCCAGGGTGGTCCTTTAATAAAAATAAATCTGATGTTACTCTCCTGCTCACAGGTTCAAAACCCGTATAAGAAATAAAAAGTCTTCTAGGATTTAACCCTTGCCTTTTAAATAGCAGCCTAATATGCTATTTAACCTCTCTAAACTTCAGTTTCCTCATCTCTAAAATGAAGAGCATGTACTAACTCACAAGATTATTCTTATGATAAATAAAAAAATTTATGAAAAAGCCTTAACTTGACAGATAAAAAAAGAAAAAGCCTTAGCACAGTACCTGGGACATATTATGAGCTCAACAAATGGTATAATATTACTACAGTTTGAGTATCCCTTATCCAAAATGCATCAGACCAGAATTGTTTTGGAGTATCAATTTTTCAGATTTTAGAATATTTACATTATACTTGCTGGTTGAACATCCCTAATCAGAAAATCTCAAACGCTCCAAAGAGCATTTCCTTTGAGCATCATGTCAGCACTCAAAAAGTATTGGATTTTGGAGCATTTTAGATTTTGGGTGCTCAACCTGTACTATTATTATCCTTTTCCAAGATCCTACTCATCTGTTTTGAAGGTCCTTTGCTATTCTTAGGGTATCTTAGCCCACATTTTCTCCACTAGTACCAAAGAGGCCAGGTACCAATTATTCGTATCTTAACTAATGTACCCTCTTCTTCAGGGAAGCTCAGACACTACCTGGTTCATTCCCCTCTTGGCATTTATCTCCAAAGACATACATATAAACTAAGGAGTTCTGTCTTAGAGAATTCATTATTTGTATGATATAGGAAAGAACATGTAGGACTTTATTTCAGAACTAATGAAATTAAACAAAAATATATAAAATTTTAAAATTACCTCTATAAATCTACCTCAAAATTGAACCTTTTTTTTTTTTTTT